TCTTACCTTAGAACAGCTGCAGCTAAAATTAAAAGAATATGTAGGTAGAGTTTATGACCGTTTATCAGAAGCGGAGTAATGTGCAGCAAGATTTTTCGTATCTTGATCTTACAGAACCACGTTTGGCTGTGGTCATTGCAACTTTGCGGCGTTTTCTGCTGTCCTGTTTGGCAGTCACTTTGGAAGCCTGTTAAGATGTTAACGCTCGTGTACATTTGGAGCAGTTAGCATGCGGTTTGTCAGATTCGGCAACTTATTATCACCGGTCCCGAGACAGTTCCGCAGCAGCCTTCTTACGATTCTTTCCTGTGATGCGATTCGTCGGGGCTTTCCAAATGTGGTACATGCCAAAACAGCTGACAGCTGCGCTATATTCCTTAATCTCCATTTTAAAGAAGTATGGCTCACAATCAAACTGTGGAATAACTTTTTGCATATTTAGTGGATTGCTGTTATTCATCAGCTATCCAGGAACCAATACTGTCCGCTGCGTTATGGAACTGTCTAATGCCCAATGATGGAATGACCTTTCTTACGACTACAGTGCAAACTTATCAACCTTTAGTACTGCTAAAAAATTCGGCTATATCCTGAGAAATGTTTCTATTGCTATACAATTCACCGGGTTTCTGTGTGCTCATTTCTTGCTCATCCCAACATCCCTTGCACTGGGAATCGGTTTCGTAGCCGTGCTGGATAAGTTGAAGAAAAGCGTATCCGGAGTCGACAATTTTGAATTGGTTTTGGAATGCTTAAAAGAACATTTCACACTCAAAAAGTGGTCAAGATTATTTGACGAGCAGTTTCGCTTGACCAGCGTCATGAATTTTTGTAATAATCTGTTTTTCTTACTGGAAACATTTCAAGATCTCTTCAGGGCCATTGAGTTTAGTATGTTAGTAGAGCCCTACTGTTACCAGCATGGCTGTTTCTTTTGCGACTACCTGTTAGCACTTCATATCCATGGTTTACATGGCCGAAAAGTATCAACGCAACAGCAAATTCCTTTCCACATTATTGTTGCTTGATTACGTATTACCGTAGCGCTGCTTATGATTAATTACGTGTTACTTGCAAATTGAAAAAAATTTTACAGGAATAGGAATTCGTGAACACCTTAAAAAACTTTTCGGTCTCTTCAAAAATCACTGACCAAGTCAAGATCCCCGTGGGCAAGAATTATGACAGTTATAGCTGCTTTTTCAAAGCAGCCGGATTCGGCATCAGCGCCGGCGGTATTACGGTGACCCGAGAAGTTTTCTTAACAGTACGTTGTAAGCAATGTTAGTCAGATTTCTGCAGTTTCTGAAATGAAACTTTTGCACTAACTTTCAGGTTATTTGTGGAGTATCTGGTTACATTCTGATGACTGCTCAGTTTGTCGATAAGAAAAGCTCCGACCAGCAGCGAACGAAGGGCGTACTGGATCTCATAAAAGGTGTAACTGTAAATTTACACGATCAAAACCGTACAAATGTATTAGGCATAGTTAACGGTTTGCGCATTTGAGCTTATTCGGTTTAACCACTTTATCGCGTCGTTCAACAATCAGGCTCCTGTTATACAACATTTTGTAATTATTTATTTATTTACAACGCCTTCTTTCTCGCTAAGCCCTTAAGGATTATATTTCGCATGGAACGGCAACCGCTTACTTGTCAGTTTTCCCGGGTATAATGACGCAAGTTACCGATAGATAATTGGATAGTTACCGTTTTATTAATTCAATTTGGCGATACGATTATTGGAATTAATACAGACTTTAAAAAATTCGACTTATCATGCTGACCATTATTCGTTTTTGTCGTATTGGTTGCTTTGTTTTACGTAGGTTAGTGTTTTCATTTGTGTGAGAGCACAATCTGTTGTGGCAGTCTACCACCTCGTGGGATCTTGTCCTGGCTGTTGTAGACATTAAGCTGATAAACGAACGGTACATGATAAATTCTCTTATTTGGCGACCTATCAAAATTGTGCTGGGTAAATATCGGAAGGTAACGAGAAACCGCTGTAATATCGGAAGGTAACGGGAACGGTTATCCCTAGGCGCTTCGTGTCTTAATAGACAGCTGCAGTTGGTGACACATTATGATATCGGTTTAGGGCTGTCCCTTGTTCTACGAACATATTCAAAATTTTGTGTATTAAAAATACTATTTACAACGTAGCAGCACAGTTCGCTAAAACTGGCATTCTGTAGGTGATTAACGTTCAAACGTAAATTTACTTTTTCCATCTACTTGAGTATTGTCTGAAGTTGAACACAAGTTACCGACAGCTTTTGTCTGCCCGCAGTAATGCACAGCTGTCGCAACGTAGTTGCTAATACTGTATTATGTTTGTTGTGCACAACAATGTCTGGCTTTTCTGCATGCAAGTTTGTAGATTTTTCTGCTGTCCTGTTCGGCCGTCGTGCTGGCCGGTTTTTAAGATGGCAGTTCTCTTGTACATTTTATTCCATGCTGTCTTTAGCGTCGCCTCTCTAAGAACCTTTAAAATATCAACGACCAGTGCCCCTGCAGCACTGCTAGTCACACCAGTACGTTTATTTCCTTTCATCCGTGCGACCTGCGCATTAAAAATGTGGAAAATGCCGAAAACACTCCCTTCTGCGCTCAAGTCGTTAACTGTTATTCTAAAAATTTACCGCGCGAATTCCGAAACGATTTTTTGCGTCCTTACTGGATTACTCTTGTTTATCGCTTGTCCCGGGTTCCTTGGTGCACTAAGCGTTGTACATCTGATCCCATTGTTAACGCACGATCCAGAGAATAACGACCTTGTAGAAAAGGTCGCTTTGATCCTGAACCATTTCTCCACTTGGCTCGGTGTAGTAGATTTTCTTGTGTCTATTGTTTAATTACTACTACGTCCATTTCTATGGGCGCTGCCTTTAGTGCGCTGACCGTCAACTTAAAAGAAACATTTGATAAAAATCGGCATTCACATTCAGGTTCCGAAGCAGCGGTAAAGTGCTTGCAGGATCACGTTAGACTGCAAGAGTTATCCAGCTTATTCAACGACCATTTCTGCCTAGCAAGCGCCATGATGTTCCTTTATACGGTGATCTTCGCCCTGGTAGTATTTGAGGAAGCGTTTGAGGCAGTACAATCCAGTGAAACCACACAGATACACCAGCTGCTTATGGTGAGCGTGGGAATCGTGGCAGTTGATGTAGCAACAACATTTCTGCAATTATTATCCATGACGTATATGGCGGAAAAGGTACTGAGAACAGTTAAAATTGCACCAAACAAAATCCCATTTACAGCTTCGTAGGAAATGGAATTTGTTCGCAGCTTGGAAAGTTTGTCACTCCGCCCTACGGTGTCGGAGAAAAGCAAGAAACATCTGCGGAAGCATCACCTTTACTTCGAAGCAGTGAAACCCGGCATCACTCTCGGTGGCATTCTAGTAAACCGCAATGGAATCGTTGCGGTAAGGATTCAGCTTATAAAAATAGTCGCATTCATTTAAAAAAGGCTTTCTTGGGAACGGTGTTTGTAGTGCTTTTGTGCGATACTGGGATACGTGCTGATGCTTGCGCAGTTTACGGGACAGGGAGCTCCACGAGGAAAGCAGTCGAATAGCACACTGGCAACCGCTAAAGAATTCATCGTAAAACTGCGATGCCTGCCGTATTAGATTGACATTATCGGCCTTATTATGCGAAACGCACTCATTTTATTGATGTACTGTTTACGTCGGTTGCTGTTTTTACAAACAAAAGTCGATCAAATCTGTTATTATGGCAAAGGTTCAGGTTTTATTCACAAAATCTGGCTTATTCAAAATCGACAAATTGTCACGATCGTCTTGTTGTTGAACTGTACAGTCTACGCCCCAATAGCTAAAGCCGTTGTTTTACGAATGGGCAAGAGTGTACCTGATCTCTGTTTTGCGAAGAGCAATTGAAGTTAACGTTTTAATCGTTAACTTGTTTTAACGACGTGAGAGAAACGCCGGCACGGCTGATCTCTCATTCTGCGGCTCACGAACAATAGCTTTTGTTCGGAACAGCACCTACCGCCTTCCGTTGATGGCTTGGCGTTAGCCAGCCTGGCCAATTCTTGGAAAAGTTACCTGCCTGTTTCCTATCGCTCAGCGGAGGATGGCCTAGTTACGTGTACTGCATTCGCGAAGACGGCTTACTGGTTGTGTAGCACGATCTGTGTTAGCATTTTGTCTTTTGCACGCGGACTGGAATTTAGAAGCTGTTCAACGATTGTTCAGTGTATATTTGCCGTGTTAATTTATTTACCCGCCTTCCCGCCCTGTCGCTGGCTTCTAACGTTCTCCAAGTATTTTTTGTTTAAGTATCAAACTCTATCTGCAGCACTGTACACAATTCTGATTAAAGGTCTGACCTCACTCGCGCAGCTCTCTCGCTATGGTACGCGCAGAACCGCACCGGAAGGCAGTCTCATCCCCCTGGCCACGAATCAGGTGGTGGTCCCAACTCCCTGGGTGGGAGTCCCCTGGCCACGTATCAGGTGTCGCCAACCTCCCTGGCCACGAATCAGGGAGGACACCTGGCCACGCATCAGGTGTCTGCGATGGCATACACGCGCACACGCATACGCATACACTCCTTCCCGGTGGCCGTGCATGTTCTGACGATACCACGAGACTCCGCGGCCGAGCTGAGGCTGGCCATTTGCCCCAAACCATTTGTCGGCGTTTCTCGAACATAGGCGTTAATACACAGGCGTGGAACGACAAGGACGCAGGCCAAAGCACCGGTAGTTTTAAAGTTTTAGGCCTTGTCGTTATCCACCTACGCTGTTGCTATCTCTGTATCTGGCGAAAACGTGTCTCGGTACAAGTACTTAACAATTGATTGAATTATCTTCATGCGCTGAACAACTACTCGTAGATAAGATAGAATGCAGAGTAGGATTATCGGAAACAATAGTGTTTCCTTTATGCATATTTCGTGCTTTCACATCATGAAATATGCATTATGTACTGCACAGTTTGTACAGAGTCGCGCTATTATGGAACCGGGAGCAGTATCGCTAGTAGAAAATTGTAAGACTTCGAAAAACAATCGCACCTATTTGTAAAGTTATCTGATTTCTATGCAAATACATTTTGTGAAGGCGGAACTTAAATCTCATGTACAGTATATAATTATTTTATGAGCTCCATCTGCTCACTGCATCGGTAATTGCCGAAATCTCTGTAGCGTCCAACTGAATCATGGAGAATCACGCTGACCTGACAGAAAATGAAATGATGGGCTCTAACTGTCAGTATTCATACAAAACCAGTCATTACATTGGAAGAGGCGCATTCGGAACGGTATACAAGGCCACTGTTGAGGAACGTGGAAATTTTGATGGTGATGAAACGGTTGCTGTACAGGTTACTCATTTGGACAAGAACGTAGACTTAGTGATTACTAATACAAGCTGGGTTAAGCTGCGCGAAAGATGGAGCAAACTCCTAAGTTTAAGGCATGATCACTTATTGGTGTACCATAAAGTTTCCGTATTCAGGGCGCTTAAGGGCCTGTACGTCGAATTCGTTATGGACTACTGTCGAGGTAAGACCTACTGCAGTACTTTTATACAAACACGAACTTAATGAAAGCAGCTTAGAGAAAACCAGAACAGCAGCAGAACTACACCCTGGTCACGCCAAGTTGGCGGCATCCCTTTAAGAACTTCCCTCCAACCACTGGTTAAAAACTTAACCTTCTTCCAACTTTTATGGTATGGCCCAATGTATCCCACATCGTTTGGACTCATGGGATCCAAGATTTGAGCGCGTGACGAATCTTAGGAAGATCAAAACTGGGTTGACAATGCGCTGCAGTCTAGCTACCGTGGCTGCCTTCCCATTATTCAAAATTCTTTTTAAATTCCCACGTATGCCTTAGCCCACCGGCTTCAACTTAGGTAAGTTACCCACCCAGTGGTAATTCGTAATACACGTCATACCGTTGAATTAAAGTTACTCCTGGATCAGGGCTGCGGTATAGCTGTGGGCGTGGTCAAAAGGTAGGACGGTCTCCTTCGCGAGGTTACTGTGTAACCGTGGGAAGTTCTTTTTGGCCATGCTTTGCAAAATACAGTCCAGAAGGAATTGGGCTTCAACTTAGGTATCACCGTTTGCAAAATAAGCGCGCGATATTGCAGACTAAGCAAGCCGAATTTTGCTCCCCATGGCGTTTTGTGTGTTTGGTCCAGCCGATGAATTTCAGCTTTTGTTCACGAAACAGCGTCTCAGTTGTCCCCAAACTATTCTTAATTTCAAGCATCTGAAGTTGTTCCTGATTTTCTGGATCAATTAAATTCGTTTCAAACACTGCCTTGACTCGTTCAATCGATGCTTTCGCTTCGTTAGGTGTTTCTCGCGACATTGCAACAAAAGCCAAGTCAATTTATACTCAGAAAATGCGCAAGAAAAAACTGCATTGGAAACTGTAAAAATATTGGATATTCATGCGCAACACGATTCGACAGAAAAATAAAATTTCAGGCCGCCAACTTGGCGTGACCAGGGTGTATTTTTTGTAATCTGTGGTACATACAGTGCATACATACAACCATACAGTGCATACATACACCTGTGGTACATACAGTGCATACATACAACCATACAGTGCATACATACACCTGTGGTACATACAGTGCTAAGGATCATAATATCGTACATATTCCTAAATCTCTATGTTTTTAAGATGGAGATCTGGCGCTAATCATGGCCAAACTGCGAAAAAACCAAATGTTATTGGAGCAAGCAGCAGCCATATGCTATGCGGTTCAAATCGCTGATGGGTTGGAGTTTTTACATAAAAACAACATCATTCACGGTGATATCAAGCCGGATAACATTTTCGTCAATCGAACGTAAGATCAGCACCCAGTTTTAGTAATCGGAGATCTGGATGATGTGGTACCAATGCGTCACGGAGTGACCAGCTCAAACGATATTCCACATTTGCGAGGGAGCATCCGTTATATGTCTCCTGAGATGTTAAGGAAATTTGTACATGAACCATATGATACTCCAGGCCGGGCTACGGACATCTGGAGTTTAGGTTGCATCATTCATGATCTAGCCGATCGTTGTTTCGGAATCGAAAGACGAGTGATGTATAAGATGAATTCGCTGTCCATATACGATGGTATAATTATTGATATAGTACAAAGAAGGAAATGATTGCCACGAAAATTATAGATGGATATGTCCCACTTATCAGCGAAATAGTTTCCCCGATATTTACGGAACTCATTGAATTGTGCTTACGAAAGGAAAGCAAGTCTAGGCCATCGGCAGAAAATTTAAAAACCCTTCTGCTTGATAATATGCCGGTAATAACAATTAGCAACAAAAGCCCTCGTAATTTTGGCACTCGTACCTCGCGATGTATTTGCGGAAATGGTTCGAATATTCATGAATTTTTCCGCCTGGGTTGTCAAGATGCTACCACCAAACCATCCGATAGTAAGAAGCAAAATATGACGATATTTTTGGATTTTAAACTTCCTAGCGAAATTGTAGTACTTTGTTTCAAGCGCCGCGGAAAGATTTCTTTTAAAAATTCGCAGTTTTCGCAGAAAGCAGTTTTCGCTTTATATTATATATATATTCGCCTTATATTATATATATATATATATATTTTCGCTTTATATTATATATACATATTATATATATAAATATAATATCGTACGAGATGTACAATGTTATAATGAAAACTCCTTTTAGATGGAAGGCTTAATGGAATTAGAGAGGAATCAGGCCAAGCTCCCGCCTCCAGGTTGCCGGCGGAAAATAATGGAGTAATCTCACCACGTCGTCCGGCTTCTCCTGTGCCTTTTTTCAGAACTCATCTGGAAGAGCAACAAGAGCAGCTGCTTATTACAGAGGGACAAACACACAGCAAGACTCACATAATGAGTTCCTTATCGCCGGCCAGTGTCGACAATAGCGGTCACGGTTTCACTTCGCCGGATGTGCCGGTTGGGTCCAGCACCCGACCTTATAGAGCAGCACCGCCACCACCGAATACTTTACACCGTTCTTTACCGCAGCTTACGGAGAATCTGCCACCGGCGGAAGATGTACATGCTGCATTACGCTTACCGCCCGAACGTACCGGTTATTTGAACCGGTCGTACAGTGCGCAAACCGTCGTTACGGTACCGGATAGAGTGAGTACCGCAAAACTAGCTCCTAATTCGTCAAGCCAACTCCAGTTTCATAGGCCTGCACCGCCACCACCGCTGCTCAAATCGCAGATTAGTTTGCCTTCAATTATTTCGAGCGGAACGGTGGTAGTTGCTCGAAAATCCACAGCCCCATTACCGCATTACCGAGCCGAAAATCTCAAGCGGGTTAAAAGCAAGTCCCACAGTGCACAAAGCATGGTCACGATGCCGCAAACCGGAAGGGCTTTTGGGAATTTTTTGCCAAGCCAGCTTATAATCAGCAGACCGGCACCACCGCCACCTGTTGGTCAACATCGCTCGTCATCACTGCTGACAGTTCCGTCACCGACGTCACGAGAAACTGCAACACACTCATGGCCAAGACAAATGATGACGCACAACGAAACTGTTCAGCGTTCACAAATAAGTCAGAACATAAATATTCGTTGGGTACAACCATTATATTAACATTACACCTTGACATATTCAGAGAGACCATCAAATCAACGGATACCACCTCCTCCACACCCGAATGCGCGTACATCCGGTGTTGTAAGCAAGACTGCGATGGCTAATGGTAAAAATAAAGTCAAATCAAAAAAAAATGTTATTAAAATAAAAGAACTGTGTTCTTAAGAAGACGCTGCTGTCTTTCACTTATATTTACTTTGTTTTTCCCAGATTATCATTATCGTTTGTGCTATTACTTGTTCCTAGACCCAGGTACAGCAAACGACGAAATACATACAGGATTCGCGCCTTCTCCCGAACGCTAACAGAGCCAGACCATGATAAAGAAATCTCCTCCCACTCACGCTGATCGCAAAGTTGACAAGAGAAGCGCTACATTCAACGTACCCCAGAAAAGGAGCGCAACCTCTCAGTCATCCAAGCGCAGAACATCTGAGCGCAGTAAGTTGTCTAAACTGCTAACGACACTTTTAAGCCAATGATACTGACACCAAGAATTTTCTTCCAGAAACGACATGGTTATCTAAGATTGCCAAGCCGTTAGGAGTTGAGCGGGCTAGACGGGAAACCTCACCGTTGACAGCCGATAAAATCAGCTTGCCGCAAAAGGGATCATTCCAGTACGAACTTCTAACCTATAATACTTGCATTTGCCGGATCACTGGTGTTTGGTTTGCTTGACATGCAAAACATGCTGGCACATTGTTGCTTGTAACCTCGTTTTTTATGTAAAATCTGTGTTTGTGTATTCGTATGCACAAACCAAGCATTCATACTGCAGCACTCGTGTTTCCTAGACTAACGTGACCTTTACGCGTTAAATACTGGTAGCAGACCATTGGACTGGCCGCTCTTGCGCTGTTCGAGGTTTTGCCAAATAACGACGGATCCGCGCAAGGAAACGAGATACTTAAAAATATCAAATAACAGGGTCATATGTATTTTTTAGGCATACTGCGCACATTGGGTGGGATCAACAAAAAAGGTGTTACAGTTATCACGGTGACATTTCTTCGGAGGAACTCCAAGCAGCACAGATGAGCAGGTTATTGGAATTATGGAAGCCTGAAAAAACCAACGTTTCGGATTTGGAGTAGAATCTTTGTTCCGTGATACAATTCAGTGCAAACATCGGTTTGGGAAGTGGGATTCAGTAAACGTAAAAACTGTCTTTCTTCGTGGAAAATGATGTCGAATTTTGTGGAACTGCTGATTCAGCTTTCGACGATGATGGTATCAATATGGCGAAACTAACAATAAGGCTAACCTTTTCAGTACATTTTGCGGGATGGCTAAAGCTACACAACCGAATGGGTGCTGTAATTCATTCATACAAAATTTCTCTTTAAGTTTCTGAATTTTCACGCGGTAATATATTTTAGATTTGTATTAGCGCTTTGCGCAGGCGGAAAAGAAAGCAAATATTAGAAAATGACATGTATAAACAAAACAAATTCTTCCTAGTACCTGCTATTACAGTACTGTACAATCCTACCTCGGGATCATCTAGTGTGGTGTGATATAGGCTCCGTAAATGGTTAACGCTGATCATTACTGCTGTGCTGATTGTGAAATAATAAGAGCACCAGTTAATGGATTATGTTTCTGTGAATGGATGGATAGTTTTCTTTGCAGAGAATTGTATCGGTTACGTTGTTATGCCGCACTTATGTACAGCTATTTCTGACATCCGTGCGGAATCCCTCAAAACCGAATGTGTATGAAACCCATATACTTCCGGTTAAAAGATCAGTGCAACCTAAAATTATTTGTTTATGCAGCTGAATTAATTTGTTATGATCAAAAAGAGGAAAACAGGTGAGCCATCAAACGGGTCACAAGTCCTTTGTAAAAAAAAATAATAAGAAAATTGCGGCTGCGCCGATCACAGCTTGCACCGTTCAACGTCAAAGTAAATTACACATTGGAACACATATTTTACGATTTGAAAATAAAAATCCGGATAAAGCAAGATATATTTGAACAGTTAGTCTTTTAGAAGTACTTCTGATTTCGTAAAGGTCACGCTATACACATCACGGAACTATGGTATTCTTTCTTATGAGATTTTAGAACGCGCGTGCTCGGCGCTTTAAAGCGTGTTTCCCAAGCCCTTGTTTCAGTTCATTACATGGTTGACAATTATACGGATAATTACGCGTATAAAACAGCAGTAACGTAAAAGTTGAAAATTCGAAGTAAACTGCTACAGTAACTCAAAGCAGCTTGCATCTATTACTATATCAAACTCATATTCCGATACTCTGTGTACTGAGGATTGGGTCATCATTCTCAGTACAGCAGTCATATAACTGCTGTCAGTGTCGTACACAAATAATGATGCCTTCTTGTGAAAAACTGTACATACTTCCTTAGCATAAGGGATCTTTCTAAGGCCGTTACCATTCTTGGCAATACTTGGCCACACGGTGATTTTTAATTACATGTAACTTCAACTCTTCTGTATCTCTAGGAAGAGCGACAAAAGCCTGAGGAAACAAAACGCATTACAGGTATGTTCCAGTTAACGAAGGATGCGCGACTTCAGACATCCACTTTCCATTTACAAGAATAGATTAACTGGTGCAGCCAACAATGAAATCTCGTACTGCTTTCATTACGATTGCAAGGAGCACTAAAATAAAGCGGCAAGTCATCGGGAGTTTTTGCACAAACCGGACGTTTTTAGCATTACGAATAATATACCCTGCGATGCGGGGGACCGTTTAAAAATTGTCTGATAATTAAACACCGAGTTTCATCATAAAATCGTAAACAGGATAACAAGAAAAGAGTTCAAAAGCGTGCGGCTTTTTAAATTGTAATTAATTCATGCGGGGCATTGCGGAGGATGCCGGAACGCCGGATTTAAACTGTCTCTAGCAGGAACACGGAATGATTAACATCCGCTTAATCAATTCCAGGTGGATAATGTTTCAATAGGTGTATGGACAGCGTCAATGTTAACCGCGCGCACAAGTATGATAGTAAGACTAAAGGGTGATTTTTCAGTTTCACGGCTGATGCCAAGCCCGCGCAACCTCAACGGCTGTATCGTCGTCGGCATCGCGCAGTTTCCGTTTGCAGACATCCACAACTGGTTCCGCATGTTAACTGTTCTGGACTGTCTCTGTTGCTTTTGGTTATCAATCCAGCCTGGTACAAGTTCTCAACCTCTCTTTTGCGCGAAAGAGTTTCCATTCTGGGATGCTAATTTCAATGGCGAACAATTCAAATTTTTCCTTTAACACCAACACCACGAAGTCCACAACTATTTCGACTACAGAGATATCTATCTGGATTGTGATTCAGCTAGGACTGAGCGCGGTGGCGGCCATCTTGATAATTTTGCTGCTAATCGTCATGCAACGTATGCAGGCGTTAAATAGCGGCTCGGGACTGCTGATCGCCCCTTCCCTCGTCATAGATTTGGTACTGGGTCTTGTGATCAGTCCGGCCATTTGTATTCCCATCTATCTCACCCAGATGCGCATCCCTTTCTCCTACAGTTGTGGCATGGATGCTGGATTTTTCCTAGTACTGTTCATGAATGCCGGCAACTGGTCATCGGTGGCCGTCGCTTTTAATCGCTTTGTGGCCATTATCCTACCGCATGCCTACCATAATATCGCGTCAAAACGGCTTTCCCTGCTCGCAGTGGGTGTGGTGTGGGGCATTGCTCTCGGTCTTGATGTACCGGTATTCTTCTTCACTCCAGATTTAAAGCGCAGCAGAACAGCATCCGGAATATGTGGATTAAGTAACGGCTATGCGCTGACTATTCTCCTGATATTAGGCTTGTACTTTCCAGCTGCTTTAATGGGCCTTACGTACTGCAGTCTATTTATTTTTTCGCGGATTCTGCGACGATCCGAGATACCGGGTGAAAGCAATACCGTTCAGCGGTTGCGCTCAAGAACCATGCAAAGACGGCTGTCTGTGGCCAAAGCGCTGGTGCTGTCGTTTATATGGTACTGCATCTGCATTTTACCACCGGCCATTGTCACCAATGCTGGTGGAGCGTGGAGCAAAGAGCTGAGATTCATTTTGTATACCAGAGCTGTTCAAGTGGTGGGATACGGTGCAAGTCCAGTAAGCAAGTTTATATATGACACAATTTATGAATGTACTCGTGTTACATACAAGTGTACATTAATGTCAATACACATTAGGAAAACATTAATTTATTTTGGGTAATTTCCAGTGAATCGAGTCTTTCTGTACAATTCGTAAATCAATAAAAAGACAAATTGCTTCATTAAAACTTCTTTTGTTTCAGGTTTCTAAATTAGGAGCAAATGATAACGCTTCTTTAGTGCTTGTGCATCTTTTTAAATTCTACACCGAGCAGATGAGACGTCGTATGTCGCCAAGCGAAACTGAATACTAATTTTGCATCGATTTTGCAACCCACCTTTTCAGAACGCTTTTCTGGCAGTTTGTACACTTAATTAGATTATCAGCGGGATCGACCGGCACCATCCATTTAGCTATATTTTTGCGGTCGTTATACTGTAGATAAGCGATCGCAATTTTTCCCGTTTAGCGGCATTTGATTACTAGTACCTATCTTTCATGGCACAGATACGAAAACGCTCAGTATAAGAATGCGCAATTACATGCCCAACCCTACAACACCAGGAAATAATTAATTTATTTTTAGATATTCTTCTTTGCTACTAACCGGGAGTACAGGAAAACCTTAAAGCACCTTTGGACGAACCGTCTCTGTTCCAAGGAAACGCTTACAGTACAACCGGCTCATCCCGTTGATGTCTCCGCAAGCGGTCATCATCGGCACGCCTCGCAAGTGCTCACCGTTCCTCAGCCAGAAAGGCAAGTTAGCGATACATTCCCGCCTCGAAGGGCTTTGAACTGCTTGTGTATGCCGACTGATGAGCGGACCCAACGAGCTGTCAGAAGTGTCGATAGTCACCAACTTGCTGATAAAAATCTTGTACTGTTCCGGAGACCATCAGCAACGAACCATGGGTTTAAATAACCCGCTAAAAACCTCTTTACCTGGGTTTTTGTAAGACCACTTGATAAATGTTAGATCTGTATAAAACGAATCTTTAGATTCCGTAACTGCTTAACCATGCTGCTTCAGCCTGTGCGCAGGTGTTTTTACATATGCATATCACAAATACAGATAACTCTGTTCAGTTATTAAAAAACTGTTTGCGAGTATTCTGCACATGACCGCGTTTGTGTTCTTCTTTAGCCTTTTGGAAACTGTACAAAGTATTGTACGATGCTACTGACTATAATAAAATATACTGGAAGAAATTTATCTACATAATATTACCATGGATAGCATTATAATCATGGCCCAGGATTATAACGCTATCCGAGTAATATGTTTACCAGGATTCCTGGCAAACGATTTTCTTTTCTATAAACAACTTCGCAGGAGGTTGAACAATCGTACGCACTAAGTACGTACAAAATGAAACCAAGTAGAAATGGAACTATAAAAATAAAACTAGACATGTAGAGCCCCACAAAACGACACGCTCGAGTTAAAACGCATAAAACACCCAAAGCACGAAACAATGAAAATCAAAAGTAAAACCGCACAATTGTACGGTAATAATAGGTTGATACAGCACACAGCAGCGATTTTTATCGCAAACAGCGTTTCCAGAAGCAGATTGTACTGATCACGGTGTTACGTAAATTATGTAAGGTGAGCGTGAACAAAATCGGGTCCAGTATCGACTGTACATTGAACATAATCATGACGACATTTTCCACCGTCGGATTCCGATAGCCGGTAAATGGGATAATCGCATAGTAGAAGACGGATGGAGACCAGAAAATGAAAACACTAACGGTCAGTACAAAGAGGAGAAGGGTGTGGGCGTTGGGGCGCTCTTTGGGATTACGTGGCAATGCTGTTCCCGGAGTCGACTGCGTGTTGAAATGGTTTTGCACTGTCGCAACTGCATGGAAATCAAAGCACAGCGTGCATAAGTAAAAAATACCAAGTTGTTTAGAAGAAAATAATTAAACTGATATTTCTTCACTTTATCAATCTGTACAGGCAAAATTTATAGAAGAAATTGGAACATTGTGATCAACTGACACAAGTAGAATAATTTATTTTATTTAATTTTATTCCATCGTGTTTGCGACCGTAATCGAAGTACATATTGCATTTCCATCAACTTACCGCTCTGGGCTCGACCGGTTTCCCCCTGCGGCTTCTGTTCCGTTGTATTACCTCCATTTCCCGTCGTCACCGCCGTAATTCCTTCGCGAATCTTCTTCCGTTGATGATCTTTATATACAATCAACGGAAAGGCAACGACAATCGTCACAACCGCCGCCAAACTGATAAACTGCATAATCAGCATCCAGACTCTTTGACTGGCGTTCGTATCCGTATCGATTTGACATGCATGGGTCTCCTCGAATTTCCGATAGTAGAGATGATCAGTCAACACGCCCCACAACCCGATGATATGGGCACAGATCCACGTGACCATACACAGACCAATGGCCGCCTGGTAGCCATGGTAATGTCGGTAACTGATGGGCGCCCACAGGGCCCAAATGCGGTTGCTGGCGATCAGCGGATGTATGATTGATTGCACCAGTGTCACCACCCACCCACCATACAGATACACGGTACAACAAGCGGAATTTAACAGCCACGTGCCGTACAAATTTTGCACAATGTTGAAACCAGATACCGTGATGAAAAACAACAGGTTGGCGAAGAGCAGGTTAAAGAGGTAGATGTTGAAGGGCCTCCATAGGTGACGGTTAACGAGAAAGGTTACCACCAGTATTCCGTTGAAACTCAGACCGGTGATGGAGAGGAAGACGAATATGCCGACATCGGTATTCCATACCGGCATCGCGGCGGAGACGTTGTTAGAGGCTGTAGTGTTATTCATCCTCGCTGGAAAATGTGTAAGTGGTGAATGTGCAGTCTTCCCTGCCCTGATATATAGGTACGTATCGTCGTATCTAAGAAGGTGAGGTTATGCTGGGGTTAGCACTTGGAGCAATGTGTAACGGCACTTCCAAAATGTCTTGTGGCTTAGCGAAGCCGTTTGTCATTTGAGCTTCAAGGATGTGGGTCGATGGTGTTATGAAAAGGAGCAGATGATTCGCTTAATACCGGCAATTATCGAGTGATCCTCGTTAAAGCACTCCTGCAGTCGAAAAAGCTCATCCGGCTGGCGTTGTTGACCGCGTGTTTGCATTCTCACGTTGAATGCGCAAGCGTACGTAGCAGAAGCGCAAAAAAAGCGTACAAGTTGCTGATATCTAAAATTCCCCTAATGATCGTGCTCCCGTAACAGCTCTTAAGGTATAATATTAATGGGGCTTTAGATAACGAATTTTTTATAGCCGTCGCCATCCAAGAACTGTGACAGCTACGCAGCCACAACCATTTTTCACCTAATTCAATTGATTTTTAAACCGCAACTTTGTTACTTCAATAGCTGTACGATTAGCGACTTGATTGTAAGTACTTGTATACACCACTGCTTGCCGATTCAGTGAGGAATTACGAGTAGATAGATAGGTAAGGCATAAGCGGCAAGAAGCACTGCGCCGCGTCGCTTACACCAAGTATTTTACTTTAGAAAGGTCTTAATGCAAGCAATCCAAATCCTGAAACATTGCCTTGATGGAGTAGTTTCATGCCTGTTTTCCTAGGTGTTTCTATGCCGAATTTAGTGTAGAAATAGAATTTTGTAGACCTGTGGTTTTCAGGTGCAGTACAGGCAGTCTATAATCGTTTTTGAAAACGGTAAAGATCGTCTGGAGGTACATGATACTAACATATTCACTTGCCGTGCTTCATAGATCAAGCTGTAGTTTTATATTCCATGTTTCATTGTTTCATGGTTTATATTCCGTTACATGTTTTTTGCTTTTGTGATTGGCATTTTTGTTTTCCTTATTTCATACGAGCAGCTTGATATTCCATCTATTATGCTTCAGGATTCGTTGTTTCATGGTTTTATTGTTCCATGTTAAAATTTTCGTCATGAGTTAAAATTTTCACTACATACAACTACATTTCACTACATAATGCACCTACATAATGCACCTGGATACTACATACGGCATCGCTTTAACCACACGTTTTTTATTAACCAGGATTTCAGTGCATAATACGCAACCACAAACATGCAACGTGAAACACAGAACCCAGCAAGACAAAGCGCATGGGCTGCAACGCATGGAGCGTAACACACAAATACAGAACAACAAAGGAAAACGTTACAATTGTTAATGTTCATAGAGGCCAATATAATATACACAGAGTCCACGTTCTTTACCGCGGTTAGCGTTTCCAGAAGCAGATTGTATTGATTGCAGTATTACGTAAACTGCGTAAGGTCAGCGTAAATAAAATCGGATCCAGTACTGACTGGACATTGAACATAATCATGACGACACTATCCACCGTCGGATTGGCATAGCCGATAAACGCGACAACCGTGTAGTAGAATACGGATGGAGACCAGAAAATAAAGACACTGACAGTCAACACGAAAAGGAGAAGGGTGTGGGCATTGGAGCGCTCTTTAGGATTGCGCGGCAGTGTTGTTCCAAGTGTTACTGTTGGCTGCGCATGGGAACGGTGTTGCTCTTCCCCCGCTACACAAATCAGCACTGAATACAATCAATTCAAAGAAATTCATTTCAAAGAAAGAAATTTTCATTTTAAGAAAAAGTATTAGACTGAATTGATTTAGCGCCGGACTACTACGTACGTATCGTGCCGTGCCGTAGTCCGGCATCAGATTTCACGGCACAACAGTATGATCACCTCGTGTTAATGCGCTCACGGACTAAACGTAAATACGATTAATAATCTTGTACAATCGATTGTGTACATACGATTGTGATACGATTGTGTACATTGATTGCTCTACTTCAGTGTCTCGTTCATTAATTATTTTCTGCGCTTATAAAGACGCTAATAATGGCCAAGGTCAGGATCACCAACTGTACTTAGCAATTTCTCTGATAATTACCAATTACAGCAACCTGGGATTATTAGAATCGGCCAACAGGAATTCCGTTTTGATATTATTACAGTTGTTAAATAATTATGGCACTATGCAAGATTTACCATTAGAAATTACATAAGAAAAAGAACTTTATGCAATTTAACATCCTTGAAATTTTTGTGAAAACGAACCGTTTTGTGAAAACGATGGTTCTTGAGGAGATAGTATTAATTTCTGATGAACGTACTATTTCCTATCTGACCGGCATCTTCTGGTTTTTGTTGCGTTATTCCCTTTCCATTAGTTGTTTCATTCCCAATCCCATTTAGCCCCGAAACCACTCCGCGAATTCTCTTTCGCTGATGATCTTTATAGACGATTAGCGGAAAAGCCGTGACAATCGTCACCACCGCCGCAATACTGATAAGCTGCACAATCAACATCCACACTCTCTGAGTGACCTCCGTTTCCGTATCAATCTCACACTTAGGGTTCTCCAGCTTCCGATAGTAGAGATGATCAGCCAGCAATCCCCACAACCCGATGATGTGCCCACAAATCCACGTAACCACACATAGGCCGATGGCCGCCTGGTAGCCGTGGTGACGCCGGTAATTAATGGGCGCCCACAATGCCCAGATACGGTTGGTGGCGATCAGCGGATGTGTGGTCAACTGAACTAAGGACACCACCCACCAACCGTACATATACACGGTACAGCAAGCGGAATTTAGCCACCACACCTCATACAGATTTGCCACAATGTCAAAACCAGACTCCGTACTGAAGTACACTAGGTTGGCGAAGAGCAGGTTGAAGAGGTAAATGTTGAAGGGACTCCACAGGTGACGGTTAACGAGAAAGGTCAGCACCAGTATTCCGTTGAAACCTAGACCGGTGATGCAGAGAATGAGGGATATGCCGGCTTTGATGTTCCATACCGGCGCCCCGGAGGCGTTGTTAGCTGTTGTAACATCATCCATTTTCGTCGGAAAACTTATGATGGAAAATACAAAATCTTTCCAGCCTTAATATAGGTACTGTATCGTATTTAAGAAAAGCATGTTGCGCCATCGTTAGCAGATAAAGGAATGTTTTGCGATACTTCCGGAATATCCTGTGGCTTATCTTAGCGCGACCGTTTGTGGTCTGCACACCAAGGATGCGGGTCGATATTGTTTTAATGAAGCGCCGCTTGATGAGCCGGTAAATAATGGCAATTATCGAGCGGTACTCGTTAAAGCACTCCTGCAGTCGAAAAAGCTCATCAGGTTGCAGTTGTTTACTACGTGTTTGTATGTCACGGTTAACGCGCGAGCACGTAGCAGGAACGTATAAAAAAAGCGTGCGAGCTGCTGATTCCTTTGATTCCCTTAATTTTCGTGCGCCCATAATAGCTATCTTCAATGCATATGAGACTTCAGACAGCAAATTTTTAATACCTTCCGCCATCAGGAATCGTGATAGCCGCGCAGCCATCACGGTGCAACCGTTGTATCAAATTTATTGATTTGCAAACCGGCACTTCACTGCTTCAGTTAAAGATATAAATAAATGTAGACAGATATTATGTAGATAATAAATGTAGATAATATAACTTAAAGATATACATAAATGTAGAATAAGCAATAGAAAATGTGCTACTACACTATACCTACGATCCCTACACGAAATACTGTATTTTATGTAAGATTAACAATTTAAGTTTCAGTACGTATGATTAGCGAAAAATCCCTTATGAGCCTTTGTGCAAATTACTTCTACGGTACGATGCTACTGGCTATTATGACTCATACTTGAATAAAATTATTCATATAGGTATCACTGTGGAGTCTGCATACTGTTATAATCGGTGCGAACGACGCTTTTTCTACATACGACTTAACAAGTACATAAGAAGAAGTTGCGCAATCTTCCGAACATACGTACGAGCGGAAAATACAAACGGAACCACAAAACTGAAACTAGTATTATAAACTTAAAGCCGACAAGGCGAAGCGCATGAATCATACAAACCACGGAACAACAAAAGCTAAAAGGAAACCTGTACTGTACAATTTTACGATATTCACAGATCGATACAGTACACATAAACATTTTTCATCGCAAACAGCGTTTCCAGAAGTAAATTGTACTGACCACGGTGTTGCGTAAGTTGCGTAAGTTGAACGTGAATAAAATCGGGTCCAATACCGATTGTACACTAAACATAATCATGACGACATTGTCAACCGTCGGATTGGAATAGCCGGTAAACGGGACAACCGCATAGTAGAAGACGGATGGAGACCAGAAAATGAAGACACTAACGGTCAGTACAAAGAGCAGAAGGGTATGGGCGTTTGAGCGCTCTTTGGGATTACGTGTCAATGTTGTACTCCGCGTCGGTGGCATATTGGAATGGTGCTGCATGATCTCTGGCGCAGACGGCGCAACTATAAATAGCAGACCACAGAACTAATACAAAAACAGTATTAAGGTTTCACAAAAAATAATTAAACTGATTACAATAATATTATTTCCTTCGCTGCATCGTCATGTCGGGCATAGTATTTTAGTCAGCCATATACCGTACTGCACAGTGCACGTACAGTCTTACGTACATAACTACAGCGCTGACGAAGTGACCTTCAAATTAAATGTAACCGTTTAGCTTTTGCGTGCGTGTCTAACTCTTTGCCAACATTCATAAAGGTAGTATTGTTATCAACTACCAGAAATTTAATTACTCTGCCAATATTATCAACGTGGTTATAGTAATATCGCATGGTTAATTTAAGAGGTTAACGAAAGCACAATTCATGGATGTCACTTGAATGTTTATCCGCATGTTATCGTGAAGGCGAATTCTGTCATCGTGTTTCCGACAGCAAATGGAGTCTGCAGTTTGCGCTAACTTACCACTCCCGGCTGTGCCGGTCTCACCTTGCTGCTTCTGTTGCGTTATTCCTGTTGCATTACCGTCGTTCCCCGTGGTCACCACAGTAATTCCTTCGCGAATCTTTTTCCGCTTTTGGTCTTTATACACAATCAACGGAAAAGCCACAACAATCGTCACCACCGCCGCAATACTGATAAACTGCACAACCAGCATCCACACCCTTTGACTGGCCTCCGTATCCGCAATTTGACACACATGAGTATCCTCCAGATTCCGATAGTAGAGATGATCACTCAACAACCCCCATAACCCGATGATATGTCCACAGATCCACGTGGCCACACACAGTCCAATGGCCGTCTGGTAGCCGTGATGACGCCGGTAACTGATGGGCGCCCACAGGGCCCAGATGCGGTTGGTGGCGATCAGCGGATGCGTGGTCAGTTGCACCAATGTTACCACCCACCAGCCGAACAGATACACGGTACAACAAGCGGAATTTAACAGCCACATGCCGTTCAGATTTTGCACAATGTCAAAACCAGATTCCGTGATGAAGAACAAGAGGTTAGAGAAAAGCAGGTTAAAAAGGTATATGTTGAAGGGTCTCCATAAGTGACGGTTAACAAGAAAGGTCAACACCAGTATCCCGTTGAAACCCAGGCCGGTGATGCAAAGGACGAGAGATATCGCGACTTTGGTATTCCATTCCGGCATACCGGTGGAAACGTTGTTAGCGGCTGTAGCGTTGTCCATCCTTGCTGGAAAGTGTGTGAAGGTAAATGTGCAGCAGCCTTTCCTGCCTTGAGATCAGTACTATAACTACGGATATATGGTGAAAGTCAGGTTACGCTGGCGTTAGCAAGTGAAGCAATATTTTACGGCACTTTCAGAATATCTTGTGGCTTGGCGAGACCGTTTGGCGTTTGAGCTTCAGGGATGTGCGTGGATATTATGATAAAGAGCAAATGATTTGCTTAATACGGGCAATTATCGAACGATCCGCGTTAAGCACCGTAAAGTTGAAAAAGCTCATCCGGTTACCATTTCTGACTGCATGGTTGACTTCTCACGGTGAATGCGGAGGCACGTAGCAAGAGCGCAAAAAAAGGGTATAAGTTGCGGATCCCATTAATTCCCCTAATTGTCGTGCGCCCATAACAGCTCTTCTTGTACAACGTAATAAGGGGTTCGGATAACGAGTTTTAATAGCCGACACCAACCAGGAACTGTGACAGTTACGCAGCCACAATCACTCTGCCTAATTTATTGATTTTCCAACCGGAAGTCTGCTGCTTCCACAGCAACAGTGATTGGCACACCTATGCAGCTGCTTGCTGATCAAATTAAAAATATAAGCAAATGTAAAATAAGCAGTGTGGAATGTAGATACAGTCTATTACTATACCGCCCATAGTCCTTACGCGTAAGCGTCAAATGGCTTTTTTCCCATATTTTGGTCACTCTAACTCTCTCTGTATATCATTTCATATTTTTTTCACCGGCTACTGGCACCACCATATGCGGCGAGCTACATGATTGGCTCCTGCTTGCACCATATGCTTTTGAATTGTTTTTCACTGTACCTGAGTAACAAAAACAAATTAATTTAAAACTCCTGAAGTTTGTAAAAGCTGAAGACCGGTTGTTTTAAGTAAAACAACCGGAATGACCCAATCCAAATCCTGTTTTCCGTTTTGCTTCTTTATGGAAATTTATGTATGTTTGTGCTTTGAAACGCATGAGCGAAGTTTTTACTATGGAAACTATTCATTTCTGGGGTAACTTCGTTGTCAGAAAATTTAGACATCAGTTGACCAAAATAAGAAAACGCAATCTTAAAGCGACCAGAAATGAGAAAAATCGAGTTATTCCAGAATTTGATTACCTTGATATGCTACTACACTATGACACACAGCAAATTAATCATGTTTCGTGTTTCCTGCGTTATATTTTAGTTGTGTCATTAATTTTATGTTGATTGTTTGAAATTGTTTCATAGTTGTAATCTATTATTTGTCTGGCATTTGTTTGGCATTTGTTTCGTTGTTTCATTATTTCTGGTTACACTGTTTTATAGTTTCCATACGGACAAACATTTTTCATGTTTCATGCTTCATGATTCGTTGTTTCATCCTTCATATTCCATGTTCCACTTTTCTTTTGAGTTGGGAAAGAAGTGTTGGCCTTTTTGGTCGAAGCACGAAGGTCGTCTATGCACAGCGAAGGTCGTCTATGCACTTCAGTGACTTCACAGAAACGGAACGGCCAATTATGACACTTCCGTCAGTTCTTGACATTCAATTGCGAACATCCAATTGGTGACACTTCCGTCGATTATAAACATTCAGTTGCGAACTGCCAAAGGACTAAGCTGCTTGGGGCAAGCGGTCACGTACTAATGACTACTCAATTTCTCGACGAGATCAACCAACCGAAATCAGGGGGGAGTAGCATCAATAGAAGGAAGACGCCACGCACATTAAGTGAATGAATCGGTATGCTGTCAATTTTTTTTGCCGTTTCGTTGCTTTTCAATCGACCACAAACGAAACCGCCGGAGCTGGTAAGAACGTTTTGGCTTATTCTATAGACATTTATAGGTGTTCTATTGCATTTTTTTATACATATGTGTATTGTTCTGTCTATTATTGCAAATATTTTTATTAACGTAAATGTTTTTTTGCACTTTTTTGTCCTCTAAATCGGAATACAGCTATACATTATGAGTGCCACAGAGCAATTCAAAAACATAAGTAAGTCTGAACTGGATCCTCCTGGTTCTTCTAGTTTACATATTATAATTCCAGACAGTAGGACTGCACATCACTCGTCTAGCCAATAAGTCATCTCATTTCCTTTGCCCTAAAACAAAATCATCTAGGTATTTTTTCGCAAAGCAGACGTATGTTTGTATAATCTTACTTTGAGATAAACCGAGCCTCTTTCAGTGATAACTAACGGCTGTATTGCACTGCTGGCGGAAGTGGCAAGAAGGTATTGATACGTCCGGCATGAGATTTGAATACGTCCAGGCTCGCTACATGCCGCTATTCTGGATGCCGTGTTAACCGTATCGCCAAACCTGTACAATGCTTCGTCTGTTTCAGTTTTCTCAATCATAACGTTATGAATAGTACGCTTCGATAACTTGCTGCACTTACAAGCAGTAGCGTGGCCTTTTTAATCCCACAACGCCGGCGACGCAGGCGCCTGCGAAATTTAGAACCCGTACTAGTACGTCAGTGACATTGACATTTGAAATCGTTCAATAGTGCTGCAAGTTTTGATGGCCTCTGTACCATAATTATAAAATTAACCGACTGATAAACTGACCACTATTTATCCCAATTAGAGCTTCGAGAGTATACGCTTCTGGTCCGCATCGCAGATCCACCGCCAAGTGCCGATGGAGTACACTTTGAAAGACTCGGCGCAATGCGCAGCCAGCTTGACATAGATTCCACGCATGCTGTTGATCAGTTTCTGGTAGGCCACTAGCCACCTATAATAACAATATTTGTATTCTGTAGTTTCAGTATACCATGCGCTTAATAGCTTATCAATGACGCACCATGTAGCTATCACCAACAGTCTCCACCTTGTACACCCGCAAGACGCTTAACGCTTCGTCGTACTGTCCAAAAAGCTCGTTCAGAAAAGCAATTACAGTAAAGGGAGATGCCAGGTGGAAGGTGGAAAATTCGGAGAAGCCGGATAAATAGCTAAACATCACACTGACGCTGGAGTAGCTTTCCGGGTTGATTTCTTCTCCTAGCCTTAGTTTGCGGATTATTTCCCTAAATACATTCAAAAATAGCGATCAAAGATAAAAGACGCTCATAATATGTTTCTGCCATACACTGGCAGCATCTCTCTGAGTAGTTCGTCGCACAGTCGCCGTTCGTTGAGTAGTTCATGCGAACGCTCAGCCACTGCTTCTTCCAGTTGTGTTGTATAGTTCCCAATACGCTTCATCAGCACCTCCAGGACATTCTGACCTGTGCTGTGCCCAGCACGCAGATTCTGCATGACGTTTCTTATTCTTTGTATGGTCGGCCGTTTACTTGGATCTACGTTCAAACACTCGGACACTGCCGTGTATAGTTGCATTCGACCTTTAATTCTTTTACTCCGGAAATGATTTCGCATTCCCTGACGATCTACTGTAAAAGTGCGTGTTCTGAAATCATTGGTTCCTGGGACTCTCTGTGCGGGTGAATTAGGCTCCGTCGGATCGGTCTGATTGGAGTCCTGCTTGGCCAAAGACTCGTGTCCCATTACGCTTTTAAGCAGATAATCAAAAATTCTGCCCAATGCGTACATATCCGCGGCGGCTGTGGATAACGGGTTTGAAACCAACTCTGTCATACTGGAGCAATGTGTGCTATGTAGAAAGCCGTGCAACTCGGGAGCTGTCCATTTCTCCAGTGATTCCTTGTTCAGTAATACAACGGCTTCTCCCCTTGGTCGTATAACCAGATCCGGTATATTATGCATCGTACGGTGATCCATCGTTTGAGCGAAGCGCCGATCGGCACTAAGGATGTCGTAAATTCCCACTGTGTCCAGCTTCAGCGACAATCTCTTGTCGATCAAGCATACTTCCGGTCGCAAATGACCATGCCGAAGTAACGGCGAAGAATGAACAATCCACACAGCCTGCAAATGTAGGTAATAAGAGATGTTCTGAAGTTTTAAATCGGCGCATACCTCTATTACAGGGAATATAACCACTACTACCAGTAAGTCTTGACCTGTGAGTATAGCCTATAGGCACAGCGCTACAGCGTACCTGTGTAAGATCCGTAAGGAGAGAAGTCAGCATTTCCCAGTCTAATCGTACGCTGCTGCTCAGCAAATCTTGTACGCTTCCTCGCTGACAAAAGTCAGTTAAGACGATGACGGTCATGCCAGACGGTAAGGGTGACCAATACACTCCATTCAATGTGTTGAGATTTAGATGTTGGTGTGTTATTTGCCATACCTAAAAAAGTTATTACCATTACTGTAGTTTCTTCTAAAATGTAGCGGTAAGCATCGCCCTGAACGCCACCACGGGAAAATTTCTCTGAGTTATATACTGTAATTGTAAAAATTAGATTGTCAGTGATAGTTCAAAATCATAGTTTACAGAGTACAAGCGAAAGCAAAACTTTTGCGGTGTACCTGATTGAGCAACCTGCTAGTTTTAGCCAAAGGAAATGCCACCCGTCGTTTTGCCGCTGACTTATGATCCGCAACTTGGAGAAAATATACCCTGGCCCAAACCCTCACGCCTTTGTAAAACACGGACAATTTGTGCAGATTATTGCTGTGCTTTTGCAGATACAGCACAGGATCAATGTCGTGCATCGTCTCCAACGGGTTGCTTTGGTGCTTTTCGCGAGCATTCGAAAACCGCATAGAAGACGCAGGGACCAGAGGGTTAGGAACCGCCTTTCGAGACTGGGTGAGCAGTTGGGGATGTGTCAGGCGTTCCTGACCAATTGTCAGCTGCGAAAGATCCACGCGCCATCTGGCTTCCGCAAGAATTAGTGCCGACCATCCGTTTTTCTTCACTTGCCTTTGCAAGATATGGACGTCATATGAAATACTATGATTATAATTGTAATTACTGTTGCGTGTCGCATCTTACCGTATAATACAAGCGGCAGCTAATAATCCCACGCAGAAGATACCGGAAACGGTTACAAGTGCTATTATCAGATCGGTTTCTGTAATATGGAAGAGCATGTTATTTGAAACGCGCAGCGGAATTCCTGTGGTCTTTCAGTACCGCCCGCCTTACGCTGAGTTGTTGTGCACTTTTGCCCCCGGAATCCGCACACGGGTTCGTTGGGAGGCGCATTTCCGTCCGATGTCTTCCATGTAAGTTGTGTTGTGACGTTAACAATGTTCCGTAGAAACGGGCTATGATGATCCAGCACTTGCACTTTCTGTAAGATTAGTAATTTTCTTCACTTTTGTTCTTTGAAAACGCGTGCGATTTTATTCAGATTCACCGTGAAGTCCTTGGTTAGTGGATCGAATATGGCCACACAAATCGGCACCTGTCGTTCACCGTAGTTATCCACAAATAACTGTCCCTTTGCTCCGTCCGCAAATTCATGTCCAAGAAACTTGTCAGCCATTAGGCGTCCCAAAGGCCACTGTTGTTGATGTTCGTACGAAGTCCTATTGGTGTCGTCATTTGGTGGTTCCGTGCTTGGTTGCAAGTTGGACATGGTTGCGTTGATAACAGCGGCTATCATGTGCACTGCGCTGAATGCCGTCATTGTCGACTCTGTCGGCTGAGACCGAATAGTTAAATACAAATACATGTATTTGTAATTTTCTCTATCGTTGCAGTAATTAGAAATTCATACCTACCCTCGTGTCGGGCTTGTATGTGACGTTGTAGCGCTCTTTTGTTAGGTTCATAAAGCGAGAGCGTAGAGTGTTCGTCATATTTCTGTCGTGTTCAATGCAGTTGATTACTTGCAACAGCGATGCTGTGGAGAACGCGGCCAGTGCATCCTGGTATAAATTTATTACGAGTACTGCAGCAGACGCTATTGTTTTTTCAAGGCAGAATTTAAACAAACGGTTTCTACCTTGTTTGAATTATTGTTGTCGATGGAGCCGGTTGAACTGCACACTGCTGTCTTGTTCTCGCAACCTGCGATGGATACATTTGCAGCGGATGACTTAAGACTCTGCCATCGCGTTAAACCAAGAGGGTTTTCCGGCAGTTCGACGCTGATCCAGACCTTTCCAGGCAGATCTCTTTAGTTTTGTTTAACTCCGTAACATGCATACAGTGCACTTACATATTCCTGATTCGTCTGCTGATGCCAGTGCGCTTGAATCTGTGGGCGACAACTTGATGTAAATTAACCATTCACTGCGCGAAGCCACGTGTTAATTTTGCAGTACTCGTACAGTAACATCGTTATACGGGAAATGCTATTTAAGCGATGCATCTGGTGCTCTACATACCAAGATTTCCCGAGTGACCGAAGGTGTGCTGGAGATGATTACAACTGTCAAACAAAATTTAACTATCAATTGTAAATCGCTGGTAATCGTAATAAACTAATAATCCTTGGCACGTGAACTGTTAAATTATCTGTAGAAGTACCGGTTACGTTTGAAAATCGGCGTTTACAGGATGCTGTAGTAGCTGCGAAGTTAATTAAAAAGATCAATGCTTTCTATTTTTCTTGATACAAAGAATGCTGCAACGGTTTAGCACAAAGTCCATAAAATGAATAGCATTTACTGCGCAGAAATCTTCCGCTTTTTAATCATATGCACGTTCGTTTAATTAAATACGTACTGCGGCAGTTCAAAGCGATATCCGCCAGTATACTCCCATAGTCGACAGTCATCGAAGCGTTGTGAGCGTACGTAAATAACTGCACTCGTCGTGTTCGAAAACATCCGCTCGTAGATCCGGGCGACGTTGGTTGATAACGGTTGCATGACGCATCATCCGATTCCAACGCTAATATAGTCAAATTGCGCAGCGACGAATCCAGCTTTTTGTACACATTATAGCTGAATGGTATCTGTTGGGAGACATCGTACAGCAGACATACGGTATACCATCCGTAAAGCTGAAGTAAGGCGTTCACAGCGGACACATAGTTTTGATAGTTAAAGTGGCCAAGCGCAATACTGGTTGGATAACGATCCCGGTTCCTGAATCCTTCGAAAGTCAAGCCGCTGCATAAACAAGTACCCGGATATTTACTCCTGCTCGTACTATTAGGGTCATGCGTAGTAGTCCATTAAGAACGAGCTAAAATGCTATCGTTGTCAAAAACTTAGCTAAAACAAAATTATTAATACGATTCATGAGTTTTTTTAATAAAGTTTATAATTTACAAATGTCGAGCTTACGTTAGGACTGATAGCATATTCCATTCTGCAACAAAATAATCGCTCTTAAATCACATTTTCATTGTAAATAGCCTTAATATACCATAAAATACTGCAAAGATAACAGTAAATGTAATATGTAAATATTATGAGATTGCATGAACATCTTTCATAAATTTTACCTCTTGCCAGCTGTGGCAATGTGTCGAATTCGAAGCAACCGGCATATAAAAGGATCGGAAGAATTTTGGTATGTCTTGAGGTGTTTCCGTATACATCTTTAACAGTGGAAATATTATTGTAGACGTAACGTGAAACATCGTCAACAAAAGCTGGCTGATCGGGACACGCCTTAACATTGCCGCTCGCCACATGGATCAACCGGAAACGGATTTTCTCGTCAGCGTAGATCTGATTCACTTGGGTAAGCGCCACATCGTATCCTGGCCCAATAAACGGAATGGATGTCATGAGATAAGCTGGCCAAATGCCATAACTCAAAAACACAACATCTAGCGAAGTTTCCTTTTCCCGGGCATTGACTTCACATCTTACTGTGACATTTATAAAACGCAGGAAAATGTAAAACAGGTATACGCTTCTGGTATTCCCTTTGAGGTTTCGTTGGCTGATGCGCATTTTGTCGACTGCGTGATCGCTGTTTCCGCAGCAGCGCAGGAAATGATAGTGTACATGTACGGGTCGCAAAATCCCTCCTTTCCGCAATTAGGCTCTTTGTATTTGTTGAAACCTAGCCTAATTAGTTTAGCGTATTCCCTTGCGTATGCTATTCCCGCACCGGATCGTGGGAGACCGGCGGCATGTACAATAAATAAGCCTTGGCGGACAACCACTACCACAGTACCACTTACTTCAGCAACGATAACCTTTTGCCGTTTGCCGGTCACTAATGATGGAATACTTTGGCAGAATATGCGGGACAAGAAGAAATAAGCCGTCGTGCGGTGCTCAGCGTGTGGCAGGAAATTTAATATGATTAATAAAAACATATAAGGATATGTCGGCAGTGGCTAATAAAGGCATCAATCGATTCACGTTTCATCTTTAGATCTCTCTGTATCACTGGTAAACGACATCCGTAAATCGTTTTTCAAAATCATTACCCTGATAGTAATGCGGATTATATTACCTACAATTGTTAGTAACAACTTCGAGCACAGAAACACGTGCGAATCGATTGTCGACCGTGGATGAATTATTAGGGCATCGTAAATTTTTATCTGGTTTTCTATTCATATTTGTGAAGACGCCATAAATGCGGTGTATTAAGTATACGAGTAAGCATAGTTCTACTGCTTATACGAGTATTATGTAGCTCAAAAAATAATAGTCTCTGTTCGGGGCACACACAGAAGCAGACACCAAGGCCACACGACAAAGAAATGCCGTATGCTTACCAAACTTTTTTACTGAAATTTTTTACCGTGATTTCCGTAGTGCTGCATGCCTTATGAAGCATGCGTATGGTGTTTCCAGCAATACATCAAATTTATCTTTACTGATTATAATCTAATGCAATCAGTACTGAAGTATACCACATTGTCAATGTCTCTCACATCGACGAAGAACGAGGCAACGTTGCACCGACCAAATGACCTCTTCTCGCAGTGGCTTCAATGTAACAGCAAAAAGAACTGGATCCAGCACTGCCTGTAGAGGGTACAGGACGACCAGAAATTTTTCCAGCAACTCTTTGCAGATAACGACCTTCGAGCGGTTGGTTATTTCGACGAGCCAAATTGCTTGAACGGGCGACCAACACAGCAATGTGCTAATGCTGGTCAACATTAAAACTGCAAAGGCGCCGCGAACGCTCTTTCGATTACCATTCGATGAATCACGCTGTCGGCTTTGGATTTTCCGCAAATTTTGCTGTCGACTCATATAAAAAAATAACAAGTAAACATAGAAGACAATGATCAGCGCTAGAGGTAGGTGGATCAATACGTTCGTCAGGATTAGCGAATATATGGGTTGGGCGCTGGTGCTCAGGCCACAACCAAAGATCTCTTCTTTTTTTGCATAATATAATCTATCGAGGACAATATATGGAACACTCATTACATGGACAAATAAACAAGCTGTGAAGATTGTCCACACCGCGGTGCGTTTCGTATGCTGGTTTCTGTAGCTGATCGGATATACGACAGCCCACAGTCGATTGGCGGTGATGAGAGTATGGAGTAGGAGACAGAAAGCCGAACTAATGTGCACGGTGTAGTTGCTGATCGTACACAACACTGATCCCATCCACCAGTAGGAAGCTTTGGCCATGGCGTTGAGCGGAGGATAAACAGCGCAGTGTAGCAGCATGTTGGTAATGAGCAGCGCTATGATATATGCAGTGAAAGGCGTCTGCAGATTTCGTTTTACCAACAAAATTAGTAGCACCGGAGTGTTGGTTACAAATACGGCAAAAATGGTAATGACATGAACAACGACAAAATACCATCCGTCTGGTGGAGAATGTGAAATATGTGACGTAACATTATGAATGATGGCAGAGTCGTTCATCGCCAAGGATGGTGTTAAGTGCATGTAATTCCAAGGAAAATTGTAATGTAACTGATCTTGAAGCACACGGCATCTCGTTTGATATACCGTTTTTCAGCTATCGTAATTCGCACAATTCCCATCTGAGGCAATCTGTTATTCCTCAGCTACATATTAAAAGTGCACAGGCAGCAAGAAAAAAGTTAAATCGCCCGTCAGCAAAAATTTGTTGTCTCCGATCCTACCGTCGGACACATTAACCTGACAAAATTAAGTAAGCCTTCTCATAAAATCCATAGTTCTAGTGATCAGATGAAAGTGTACGAGTAATTATGTGAGGAAATGGTTCTCACAAAAAATACTATTGCCTGGCTGGGCTGACTCTACCACCATGGACACAAGTCTTTTATTTCAAATTATGTACTGCATACAGTATTAATAACAAACAACGATCTAATAACAAATAAAAGTACCCACGATCTAATGCATAGCTGCAGCAAAATCTCCAAACTAAATAAAAAATTCAACCAGAATATTTTATACAGTACTTTGCGAAACAATTATCTTTCGCTTCAGTGATTCTCTCCAAACAAAAGTCGCTGACAAATCGTTTGCAATATTACCCATTTTTAGCTTTTTCGCGCATGGCATACAGTATCATTCAAAAACACACCTGCGAGACTAAACACTAAATATTTATGTGTACAGAGTATTCTAATTAAAGATAAAATGCGCCAACTTCGGGTTATCCAAAATAACGGCTCAAAGCTGCCAGTTACCTAGTATTACTGCGTAATAATACGGCCAAATAAAAGACCGAAGAATCATCCTTGCAGATTTTGCGTCATCGTTGCACAATGCGAAATGGATCCAAAAATAAAATTACCCGTTTTGTTGAAGTTATCCCAGCGGTTTTTTGCTTGATCGTATTTCTCCATATCATACGCTTCCGTTCCGTATGTCCAATATCCTCCGCAGACATACAGCTGACTGTTGGCGACAAACATCGCATGCTGATAACGGCTGCTTCGTAACCCGGCAATCTGCTCCCATTCGGCGTCTTGCACATCGAGTCGTAATCGCTCGCAGGTGCCATTGATGGCGGAGTCGTCATCCCATGCTCCTCCCGTGGCGTACAGGTACCCGTTGTAAACCTTGACAGCGAAACAGCGACGCGCGTGGTTCATATCAGGGAGGTAACGCCATTTGTCGCTGGTAGCGTCGTATACTTCTACGGTGGCGACTGTTTTGCGCTTTTTTCCGCTGACTACCGTTCCACCGCAGTAGTAGAATTGGCCATCGTGGCACTCGTAGGCTGCGTCCTTCCTACATACGAGTACAGAAGCTTCAGAAAATATTATTACAAACGACTTCATTACATGTAACTTTGTGATATACAGTAACTGTTAAAAAGAAAGTTTTATTGCCATAATGCAAACGTTTTATTCGCGTAGCTGTTCCATAGACCTTACACACCACAGTCAGATCGAAAAAGTAAAAAGAAATCGTCTTATTATCATTATCAGCCTATTATCAGCTACGGACTATCATCAGCTTATCGCAAGCACATACTAATGTAGATCTTTTTCAAATTTCATCCAGCGCTTACCTAAACTTTTTTGGCAAACGCGGCTCTTTTCGGTATAACCGTGTTGTCACATTATACGTGCACGATTTATTTGCCTCGCCGCTATTTTGAAAATCCCACCGATAAATGATTCCGTTCAAGGAGACCGTCGGAGACAGGTCCATCATGGCTAACGGCTCTTTCAAAATCTCCTCTACGGTCCTTTTGACCGGCGAAAACAGATAGGTAAGCAGCTGACCCTTGCGTTCACCGCGAAACCACAGCGAGTTATCGACAACCGGCCCGAAATCTTTATGCGTAGACCACGGCGCAATATCCACCGGTAGTGGGATGATGTGAGTGGTATTTGTTCGCCAGTCGAACTGCCGCAGAGTGGCTTGATTTCGGTCCGCAAAGAACAGGTAAACGGATTCGGTAAAATGGCGCTCCCGTGGCCTGACGGTAAGGACGGGTGATTTGGGTAGAAGGAACTGCTCCAAATCAGCCAATACGGTTTGCAACGCTCCCATCGCCGAAGCGGCAGCCATTGATAGGGCATCCGGCAACAAATCCCAGCGAATCTCCGCCAACAAAGGTGCCAAGGCTTCTTCGGTCCAACGCGCCGGGTACTGGTGACGACACCATTTCATCACTGCCTGGGAAGAACACAAACTATTTCATGCAGTACGATAACTATAAGGTGACAACTTTGCACGCTGACTATAAGGTGACAACACCAGCGCAATTTGCACGATGACAACTACACAACCAGTGAAGTAAACAGTATGCATTAAACGATGCGCAGGAAGCAAATAAAATTATTTCTAATTCTATCGCAGAAACGGTAGATTACTTCATATAATATTACACCACTGCAATACAGCAGTTAAGTAGGTACATGAAAGCCCGCATCATGCGCATCCCATGTAGAAAATTTCTTAATTGAAATTTCTTAATCTCTACTTTCTTAGTCGCTCGTCTACAACTAATAAAACTCGATCTACGATCTCCAAGTGCATTCGGTATTTGATAAAAGACTGCGCAGAAAACCAATGACCGGACAGCAGACTGGTTATGGAAAGATATTAAGATTAAATTCATTAATCGTCATCAACATTAAGTCCTGTTAGCCCAACATAGTATTTTAGTTATTACTTATTACGAAATGCAGGGAATCAGTATACCTGATAGACATCTATTTCCGATGGGACACACAGGAATTCACATTTAATTATCTTCAAAACATGTTCCAGTGAAATGTCCAAAAATTCTGGGGTGTTATGATAGGAAGAAAACGTAATCTGAATTTCTTCCAACGGTTTGCTGGGTTCTTTGCTGGGCTCAACGTCTACCGGGGGAACCACCGGAGGTGGTGGTTCCGATGGTGTGGGCACATCGTTACTGGTAGTTGAATTTGCGGGACCATCAGGTTTTGGAACTGGATTGGCATGCTCCTCTTTATCGTTGGACGGTGGCGGCAACCCTGTACAATTAACTAAAACTGGGCGTTCGTTGGATGAACAAAGTGTCGCACGTACAAGATAACTGATACATACAAACACCGTATTGTATCTGTACTGTAAAACCGTTGGTAAAATATATAAATAATAATTATCCAGCAAGCAGTAAAATTAATAAGAACCGTATTGACGGGAAAAACAAAAATATGAAATTCATCCTTAAGCTCTACTAGAAATTGCTTACGGTATTTCTGGATCGATCTGCAAATACGTTGCCGCCTTGTACAGTTCTTCTAGGCTCACATCTGTCATTAAAGATGTACAATCGAATGCCACATCCGGATTAAGAGCCACTAACAAGATGGTATGGATAGCCAACGGTTTGATATCGTCTGGCCGTCTGATATGATAGAGATCGCCCTCCTTGTGGATCGGGTTATAAAAATATTTAGGATCTGTCAACAACGCTTGCGTAGCACGCCGGGTAGCGATTAGCGTATGCTCGCCATTTACAATGCGGATGAGCTGATCACGGAAAATCTCTTCAGGCTCCTTCTTAACAGAGAGGACAAGGACATCATCTCCTTCGGAAACTTGCTGTTGGTCATTGGTTTCGTTGGTCTGCGGTACAGAGTCTTCAGATGTATGCTCCAAGATCCCCATGTTGTCATCAAGCGGCTCCAATTTGATTTTTTTCGAAGGTGGCTCAGACACTATACCGGTGCCCTCCTGATCAGAAGGCTCCTGTTTTATCTGCGGAGACGGTGGCATGGCTGCGTTTTTTTCTTGAAGCGCAGGCGCCTGGGACCGATCGTTTTCGCCCTTTTCCTGCTTGATTTTGGCGGGATCATTTGCCAGTAACGGCATCTTGGCAGGCGTGGTTACATTGTCCAGTTGGGCAAAAGGCGCCTGGAAGCGCTCGTTGTCGGATTTCTCTTGCTTAATATCTGTGGATGCATTTGCCGGCAACAAAGTACTAGTACCAATACTCACTGCTGCGGAATTTGCAGGCTGAACAACAGGGACTGGAAAGTGCTCATCGTCGGTCTTTTCTTGCTGAATAACAATGGATACTTGCCGGCAACGGGCTCCCAGCATGCGCTGATCCGGTCGGGTTTCCTGGCTGAAGAAAAGCTCCCCGGAACCGAAATTCTTTGGGGTTTTCTTGCTTATAAACCAAAACATACCGCGGTGCTAATGATTCCGTGTGAGGAGTCGGCATAACGAAGAGGTAATGGGAATACACTTTAGTCCCGAATTTAGTTTGTAAATTCCCACAATATACTCGCTTAGCGTTTCCGGGACGTAAATTGCGCAAATCAAGCATACAACGGCCACGAATTAGATACCCCCAATTAATCTTAAACATTGTAATACCTATACGTATCGCTGATAACCGCTGTATCTAATTCAGGACTAATTCGTATCGCTGTACCTAATTCAGGACTTTGCTGAGAAACTAGAGGTCAGGTTTTGCCTTGTCTGCAAGGAAAGGACACAAACTGATCCACTTTAAGTCTCTGATATGCCTCTTGCTGTGCCAGTTTACTCTGAAGACTTTGCTCTGAACATACTTAACAAAGTTTGCACCACCACGCTTCTTCACGTTTTCTTAAGTTTTTGTACCTGCACATAATGTCCGCCATTGCATCCGGATCGCGTTCTGTTTCTTCAGGCTGTATCTATTTACTAGAGTGGCAGTATCTATCTGTAGACAGAAATTTATCAACATACCTACGCGGAGAGAATACTGACTAGATATTTGAACGAGATTCTACAAAGCCGACAGAGTTTTCATGGCGGTTTAGCAGTGTAGTTGTTTAAAATTTTTGGGAAGGTCAACGAAACTCAGTTGAGCTGTCTAACGATTACGCTGAAAAACGTTCGTACCTTCGTATCAAACGACTGTACAGTGTACCAACCATTTTCAGTGGCCTTGAAGGACTAATAATTTTAGTTATACTAAACTTTATGCTTTTACATACAGACCGATACAGTTATTATTGTACTCTCGGCATAATATGGAACCTATCACTAAAAAACCCAGACTGGAGACGGCAGATGTCGACAACCAAAACGCGGGAAGCAAGGAGTGCAAGTTAGGTCCCAGTATTGTTGACCCTAGGCCTAAATCTCAGTTAGGAAATGAAAATCTCCTAAAACATCTTGATAACGACGATGAGGATGTCGCCATCGTATTTGTCAAGCGCGACCCCGAAGCCGTCATCCGCAATATGTTGGTACGTGTTGTCATTGGGAACTATGTGCAGTGTGCGCTGCGCGGAGCCGTTCAGGACCTGCTGCCCGATGCTGCTTATTTCCAAAATGGACTGATTCCAGTGATTAATGAATATACCATAGTAGTGCCGGACGGCATCGAGACGTTGGCTGCTCATTCCGTCCTGCTGACAGCGCTTAATCCCGGAGTACCATTGAACTGGAAATCAACGGCCAAGAGCATGACGGTGGATCAGCTGCATATGGCGGCGTCGTATTTCAACATCAGTGCCGACAAACTTGGTAAGGCCTTGGCTCGGTACAACAGACACCTTTCGTATCACCTGATAGCGAAGCTCTGGTATGATATAAGCATTATTACCGGTGCGAACTGATGCGAAAAATATGGACCCTACTCTGGCAAAATTGTAAAAACTTAATGCGACGAGGGGATATATGTATTTCCAGTTCATCGTTCTCTCTGAATATTAGCAAGAGCCATTTGGGTGTTCGTACTTATGCTACATATTATATAGTGCAATGTATTACGTACACTCGAACGTGCACAAGGGTATTTGTTAGTGTAAATGTAATGATAACACGGATTACGAAAAAAAATTAAAAACGATTTGATCGTGGCAATAGTACTACTGTCTCACTAATATTGCTGCTGTGCTGCATTTTTTATACAGATCTTACCTTGTTAGATAGTGGCTAATGCTGTAGTACCACTGTATCGCTAGGGTAGTATTGCCGCTGTGCTGTATTTTTTTATACGGATCTTTCATTTGATTAAGTACTCTGTAGTAAGCCCTCGCTAACTCGCTAAACTCTAAGCTGGCTAATGCGCTGCCACGTTTTACATAACAACTTTATGACTGCTCTTGAACTCAACAGGACTACCACCGCCAAAGTCCAAGAATGACATTAATTGTGAAGGCACCCATATGGACAAAGCAGCTGAGCCTTCCAGTCCATCGAAAAAACCAGTTGACAACGCGCAGTTTGACTCCAGTGACGATATTGGAAACTCTGAAGACAAACACCCCGACGACAACGATGACACTAATGACCCTGGCGATAATTACAATGGAAGTCAAAATTGTCTTACATTCGGTCTGGGACCGAATGACCAATAAAAATAAATGGCCAGGACCAAATGACCAATAAACAGAAAACGCGCAAGAATACGAACACTTGTTCCTGGCGCATTTCCCAACGAAAACCATCAAGCGATATCTCAAACGAAAGACAAAAAAATTTCTCAAGAATTTCGATACCAAAATGGTCATCCTTTATGAGATCTAAGAGAAAATCGAGCCATTTTGGTTTGTCGTAGACAAAGCACACGATTTCTGTGTGAAAACTGAAACACAAACCGCGGATGCAAATCCTATGCTATGTCTACGAGAAACTTTAGATGCCTCGATTATCTCTTAGATCTTGTAAAGAACAACTTCTTTGGTATAAAAATTTTTGAAATTGTTTTCTCGTTCGTTTGAGATATCGGTCGATGGTTTTCGTTGGGAAATGCGCAAGGTGAAAGTGTAAATGAGCAGGCCGACGGCCAGTCAAAAACTTGGCTGTTTGGTACAGAAAAGCCAAAGTTCACTTCGGTTACATTTCGGCCGCACATTCACTTAGTTTCTCACTTCTTCGGCACTACCTTTTTACACTTCTTAGGTTTCTTACTTAGGTTCTTAGGTTTCTTAGGGTTCTGGTTAGGTTTGGTTATTTTAGGTATTTTAGGTTTTCTTAGGCTTTGGTTATTTGTTATTTTTAGATCTTCTTAGGTTTCTTAGGTATTCTCAGATTTCTAGGTTTGTTAGGTTATTTAGGTATTTTAGGTTTCCTTAGGTATTCTTGGGTATTCTTTCTTTTTAGGTTTCTGAGTTATTTTTAGACATATCTAGGTTTCGTAGGTCATTCCTATTTTTTCTTAGGTTTCTTGGATTTGTTTGTGTGGGTTTTCTTGGGTTTCCTAGCCTTCGCCCTCGTGACGGTTGCCTTCAGGCATTCGTCCATGTTTTCTCCGTCTTCTTAAGGTAATGCGGATCATTTGTCGTTTTAAGCTTTTTTGGAAGGTTTCGCCTTGTGTCTGCTATATTGGGTTGTGTATTAATGCTGGCGATAAAGATTTCTCAATTTTGTTTAATTTTTAAAAGTTGCACGATGGGATGGCAAATTTTTAATGCAAGGCCATTTTTTAACCCTTTTTAGGATTTAAGTTTCCGACAAATTTTATATCGAAAGTAACGTTTTCTCTTAAATCTATCCAAAATTGGCTACGGCCGAAATGTATTGTGGCCGAAGTGATCGGCGGCCGAACTGAGTGACGGCCGAAGTGATTGGCGGCCGAAGTGAATGGCGGCCGAAAAACTTTGGCCGAAATGAACGCGGCCGAAATGAAAACGGCCGAAGTGATCGGTAGCCACAGAAAAGGGCTTGGTTGCGCGCGTTTTGTGATTACATAAGTGTAAGACAATTTTGTCGTCCACTGTACAGTGTTAGTGAATCTGAATCTGATGGAGAAGATAATAATGCTCAGCTGTCTGGTGATGCTCCAACGAAACCGTACAATGAAATACAGGATCAATTCCACTCCTATTCTCAAACAGCAGATTTTTTGGACCTTCCTTTCGGGCAGATTTTGACGCTACTGAGGAAGGGATTTTTGGCAGTGCAATCGGAGAAGGAAGTGTATCAGGTACATACCGTATATAAAAATAGACATCTCTAGTCAGCCAGTGCGAAGAATCGTAGTTCATACTAATTATGCAGCTGGTAATACTCGTACCATACTTCAAAGTATACATTTTTCTCAAGTTTTTTTAAGTGCTTGTTCGCGGTTCAACAGCCACATATGTACATGGCTATTCGTTATTTTTTAGGCAGTAATGGAGTGGTGTAATCATCGGTACCCGGCGCGCTGGAAAGAGCGCATACTGGCACCGTTGTTGGCCGAGATTCGTTGGGATTTGATAACGGATACCCTGCAGCAGGGAATTTCAGCGTCAGATAATCCATTACGTAAAGTGTTGTCTGAACTAAAAGAGGCAGTAATGCTGAAATCGCGTCGTCAGGTCACAGCTGCTCCACGACAACGCCATTTTGCCGAAACCGTTTACGTCTTCCATGCCGACCGGAACCAGGTTAGCCTGCGTCGATTCGACTGGCGCAATAACACGCTATCCGACGACATAACGCTAAAAGGTCTTACCGCATCATCCACGTGCAAAGAACTGGGCCCGGCAATCGGAAATAAGCTGTGTTTCCGGGTTCAACGCGGTGATAAACTGCAGACCTTTCAGTACTGTCCCATCACGAAGAAAGTGCGCATTTTATATGACGAGCCATTGGACATGTTGGGATTAGGGCCAACAGTCTATTTAAACGGGCTGCTGTACCGTTGGGATTTTGAGAATGGCCAAAAGAAGAACAATTCGTGTACTTTCGATTTGGTATCTAAAGCAACTGTGAAAGGTCTCCGACTGCCGAAAGTCTTGAGGTAAGGAACATTATGCAGTATGCATGTAATTGAAAAATGGCTCCCTCGTTACTTACTTGAAAAACAGATATTAAATACTCAGTAATACCTACTTAAGGTGAATTTGTCTACACATTGTCATCGTTAATAAAAGTTTGAAAGATTGATTCCATCTGCATTTCAAGTTAGTTTACTTTTACTTTAAGTTTGCTGTAGCTAAAAACTTTTCCAGATTTGTGGAGTTTGACATTGTAGGTATTTCAATTTATTTGTGAGGCATAAAACTACAAATGCACTGTTCAATGTGAAAAACGTTAAAATACCATTATTTAGCGCCCTTTGCGCAGCTGGCAACAGCAGTACTCGGTAATGCAGATGTGGCTTTAAATTGTAGTGTTGTTTTTTCCTTAATGATTAAATTACTTACATTTCCTTACTAGGAAAGAAGCAGCATTCGATTGTTACGATGACAAATTGTATTACTGCGGTGGAATGCCTATCAGCGAAAAAGCTCACCCGGAAGCTGTATCGACAGTGGACATGTACGACGCCACAACCGGCCAGTGGACAGCACTGCCCAGCATGCTATTCGCGCGTCGCTGTTTTGCAGTGAAGGTCTTCAATGGGTACCTGTACGCGACGGGTGGAGCGTGTAATTCCAACAAAACCTTCCCTTATGCTATCCTACACACGTGCGAACGCCTAAAACTAAACAGTCCCAACGCAAAATGGCAGCGAGTGGCGGATCTGCAGTATTGGCGGTACCAGCATGCCATGTTTGTTGTTGATGACCGATTGTACGTCTGCGGAGGAAGGTTGCGGAGCGAGCAGGGTTTCGCAATGGAAAGATACGACGTGGAGGGAAATAAATGGGATAAGTTGCTTAAGGCGGATCGGTATCTGTTTGGAGCCATTTCTCAGTGCGTTACGATTACTCAGTGCTTCAAAGGTTAAGCATCGGGAGCAGCTTAGGTTTAAACATATTGTTAAAAGACTTCGTCATTGTGCTAGAATGGTTAAAGAATTCAACAGACACAGAAATTCCTTGCGTGTATTTGTTTTTAAGATACTGAGGAGGGTAATGATATGCACCGAGCAATAACAGAGCTGTTATCTGTGTTGCAAACAGGACCAAGCGGCAGCTATCACGCAGAACACCTGAAGCAGTCACTGAGCCCGACAGATTTTTTGTTTCATAGACTGTTAAACTGAATCACTTCTGTTTTGCACATTCGGAACGAAACCAAGCAAATAACATTCCAAAAGAATCAGAAAAAATTCACGAGATTTTGTATACTAAGTTATGATTCATGGTGCACACAAGTTATGGCCATTTATGTTTCTCGTAGACACAGCATAGAGTTTGTGCGTGGAACCCAACCGTTGATTCGAATTCTATGCTATGTCTACGAGAAACGCAAATGGCTATAACTTGTGTCCTGCACCATGGATCATTACTAGTTTAGTATCAAAAATCTTGTGAATTTTTTCTGATTCTTTTGGAATGTTATTTGCTTGGTTTCGTTCCCGAATGTGCAAAACAGAAGTGATTCAGTTTAGCATACAAGTCTATGGAAACAAAAATCTATCGGGCTCAGTGACTGCTTCAGGTGTTCTGCGTGATAGCACGGGCTGCCGTCTCTTGGTGGCTGGCCGTGTTGCACAGGCACGGTCACAGATAACGAGCTCTGTTACCCCTTGCTCGGGTGCATCGAGCTCATTTACCCCCTCCTCGTACAGTCAGTACAGTGCATTATGTGCATAGTATTGCAATTGCCAGTTAGATGAAGTTGTTATATACATGTACGCTGACATTTTTTTCCATACGCGAAATGGACTAACCTTGTTTAAACACTATTGTAGCAGTTGTAATTTTGTTGACGTGCCTGAATTGTAAACCGACATTACGGCAGCGTCTTGTTTCCGTTCTCCGTCATCATGAAGTGCTCACTGCTCACCCGAAAGCCAAAACTTTTGAACGAAGCCACGCAGATTTTGTACTATGAAAGCAGTGAATACCTAGATCGTACGTTTCAGGCTCGAAGATTTTATCAGGAGAAACTTAAAAACAACGAACAAAAAATGCAGGTATGTATGCGGACTGCAAAACGTACGATGTTACTGTACTGAGGAATTTTGATGACATTCAGTGCAAAACATGGCCATGACCTTTCAGAGCTTGATGGTATCCCAGATGAACCCATCGTTCGTAAAACCATGATTTAAGACCAGATCCGCACACTACAAAGTCTCCCCTTGAAACGTACTAATCACGATGCTACACAACGGAAAGAAGGTACAAACGTAATAATTAACCACACAAATCCAATGAACAAACTATTTCATGTGATGCTGTAGATCCCACTACGAGAATTTTTGTGACAACAAAAAAAACTACCTAATGATAGGTATCCTTACTTTCTACTCTTAACACGAACAACAAAATGTACAGTACTGAAAAAGAACACCTGCAAACTGTCAGCGCAGAGTCATGAGATGCAACACACACCCGTATAATCAATCCGCGTAACTTTCCACCATTACGGCGCAGTGCGAGAAGGCTTCGAAAATGAACTTATCCTGTTTGTCGAAGGCCTTCCATCTGCCCGTTGCCATATCGTAGCGCTCCATATCACAAGCCTGGTCTCCATCGTACAGGTAGCCACCGCACACATACAGCTGACTGTTGGCCACAAACATCGCGTGTTGGTACCGGCGGTCTCTTAAAGGGGACATCCTCTCCCATGTGGCGCCTTTAACACCCAGCTGCAGTCGTTCGCAACTATGCAAGATTTCGGTATCCGCATCGTGTATTTGTACGCCGCCCGTGGCGTACAGGTAGCCGTTGTAGACCTTGACGGCAAAGCACTTGCGAGCGTGCCGCATGTCCGGCAGCGAACGCCATTTGCCGCTTTTAGCGTCAAACACCTCCACAGTGGCGACGGGACGAAGGTTCTTCCCGTTAACCGATACTCCGCCGCAGTAGTAGAATTTTCCTTCATGACAGTCAAAGGCTGCATCCTTCCTGTTAATAAATTCTGAATAACTGAACTGTAATTAATCCAAAGTACAGTACCAAAGTGAAAATTATTCGACCGAAGCGTAGCCAAAGACCTATAAATTCAGGACCGACACAGAAATGGATACGTGTTCGGTACGGAAGTCCGTTGCGGAACTAACACCTATGATGTCACTGCAGCCGCCGTGCATGAAGTTACTGGTGGCTGCCATCACGTACCGCACCGGCACTATCTACGATTAAGCCAGTGTCTACATTGGGCTCAGTGCATTTGCTTCGGGGTTGCACTGGTTTGTATTTTCAACGATGTAATATACGAGATGTATATATGAGAAACAGTTTGAGGGAGTTACCATAAATCTGTTTTTCAATAACTCTAGCGCTTACTTACGTCTGATCTCGAACAACAGTACAAGTATTTCGTCTAATAAATAACACACTTTACGCTCCGGTCTGCCAATACCGTATCTGTATACGTCAACGTGCATTTGGTAGTAGATGTTTTATAAGCTAAAAACTTAACGTTGCAAAATTTTTTCAAACTAACCTGACTTTCTTCGGTAAGGCTACTTCTTTGTCTAACGATTCAAACTCCATGTCATAGATGCAGGAATTATTTTTCTCACGGGGATTCTGGAAATCCCATCGATACAGCATTCCATTCAAGTGTACCGTCGGACACAGTTCAGTCATGGTCAGCGGTTCATCCAGGATCCTCTGGACTTCCCTTGTGGTGGGGCTGAACAGATAGGTCACGAGCCTATCCTTACGCTCCACGCGAAACCACAGCGAACTGCCGATCAGCGGTCCGAATTCTTTATACGTAGACCACGGTGTAACATCCACTGGGAGGGCGACGTCATGCAGATTATTTGCTCGCCAGTCGTACCGGTGCAGAGCTACTTGGTTGCGGTCGGCAAAGAACAGATAAACGGTGTCGGAAATATGGCGCTGACGCGGCATGGCGGTAAGGACGCGTGGTTTGGGAAGAAGGAACGTCTGTAAATTGGTCAATACGGTGTGCAGCGCTCCCTCCGCCATCGAGATAGCCATCGGCAGGGCATCTAGCAGCAGATCCCAACGAATCTCGGCTAATAAAGCCGTCAGGACCTCTTCCGTGCAACGCTCGGGAGACCGGTGGCGACACCACTTCATCACAGCCTACAAGCAAGTTCTGAATTACTGTGCCTGCCCATCAAAATGCACACCATGTCTCTGCAGAGTGTTTTATACGAGTACTTTAAATTCTACCTTTAACGGGTTAGTACATACCACAATTTTACAATCTGCGATAATACCTCGTAACAATAATTTTACTGCACTCTCGAACCGGACAGACGTGTTTGCTAAGAAAAATTTTTTTTCAAATAGTACATGAACATTAAGGACTATCAGTCAATTACCTGATACAAATCCATTTCGGATGGGACGCGCAGGAAATCTGATTTAAGCAGCGTTAAAATCTGCTCCAAAGAAAGCTCCAGAAACTCGGGCGTGTTCTGGTAGGAGAAAAACTTATCCGGAATTCCATCGAGCGATACGATGGGTGCGGTGTTTGACACCACATCGGCCGCCGCTGCTTCCGGAGCTGCTGATTCCGGTGGATTGGGCAAGTCGCCAACAGAAGCCGTAGGCTGCGAAATATCAGGCTCCGGTACTGAGCTGGCGTGGACACCTTCATCGCTGAACGGCGCTGGGTGAAACCCTAACCAACAAAAGGCACAAAATGAAAGCTTCGGTAACCAGACCAACAGGCACGGTTCAACGCAGTCAAAACACTGTTTCAGTTCATAACGTTTTAATTAATGAGCATATATCAATCCAAGTAAACAATCCTGTAAGACAAACTGCTGGAAAATAAAACTGCACTGGCAGAAAAATAGTAAATATTAATCACACAATATTAACCCTTCCAGGCTGCTGTCCCAAAAAAACATTCATTTTCGAATCAAGATTTTCTGCGTAAAAGACCATGTTTCAATACGCACATTAAATACCTTCTATTTATACAGATAAATACACTCTTATTTTTCTTTACTGGAAAAGTTAAATAACATTAAAAAAATAGAAGTTCGTCTGTTAATCCGGCTGTACAGTCGTACATAAAACTGCCCATAAAATTTTTGCTGTGTTCATTTTCTTACCGATCTTTTCGGCATCGATCTTGAAGTATTCTGCTGCTTTCCGCAGCTCTTCCAGTGTCACACCCGTCACGCTGTCTGTGGACGTGCAGTCGAACGGGACATCTGGATTGAGAGCTATCAAGAGGAGCCTGTGGGAAGCCAACGGCTTAACATTCTCCGGTAGTTTAATCTGATACGAACTGCCGTCATTCGATCCACTGCAAAAGTATCCCGTGTCCGGTAACAGCGCCTGGATGTCCCTCCGCGTCGTGACTAGTTCGTGATTGCCACTGACAATGCGGACCGGCTGATCACGGATGATGTCCTCCGGCTCCTTTTTAACGAAGTCAATCAGGACGTCGTCCCCATCCGGAACTTGACGCTGGCTAGCGCTCTCCTCAGTCATCGGTTGAGGGTCTGCAACAACCTGCTCCAGATTCTCCGCAATGGGATGATCCGTATCCATCTTGGCTTTCTTGGCAGGTGGCTGGGAAGTGTTGTCTTCTTGCTCCACTGGTTCGATCGGAGGGAGCGGTGCCGTGCCAGCATTTTCCTTTTCAACAACTGTAACAGACGTCGGAAGCTCATCTCCACAATTTTCTCGTTTGATTCGTATGGCTGTGTTAACCGTGCCAGGAGATGCATCGACCGCTGTGTTCGGGTTTCCTGGCTGAACAGGATGTGGCAAGAAGAGCTGGTGGTCCAACGGTTCTTGCTTGACTTGCTCTTGTTGGCATCCAGTCGGCAGCCGTGGTGTCTGTGCCTCAGACGCACCACCTGGGTTCTTGAGAGGCACCCGAACTGCGTTTTCCTCAGGTTTTTCTTGCTTGATTCGAGCTGGCCCGGGGGACTCTAGCTTTATCGTAGGAGTTGCCATTACGAAGCGCAGCTCACGGCCAGCACGCACAATAATCGTACAGTTGTCTGGAGACTGCCGCTTCCCGATTGTTATCGGCTATTTGGTCGGATACAGTACCAGAACTACCTTACATAAATCAATAAACAATACCGTACATTAGTTATAATTTATAATGCTAGTATCGTCCCACGATTTACACGGGCCACAAAAATTAACAAGTTCGTGCTGGTCTCTTGCTGTAGTCTGCAATTCTGCAATGCGAATATTTACTGTACTGTACTGTGTTGTTGAGTCAACTTCAATGGCACGTTTTCGTACAGTAGTGACTAGTGAGTATCTAACTAAGGCTCTTTAAAGCGGATGCGACTCATAAGAGTATTGAAAGTACTTACTTCGCTGTAAAATTTCCGAGGATAGACTGGAGTTCATTGACATCGATGAATAGCATGGCAAAGAGTGTTGTACGAAAGCAGCTGTTTAATAGCCTGTTTCGTCCACACGGCAGAGAGATCGTTGTAAAATTTTAACACAGTTGGCGGTCTCAGTGAGTTTGTATTGTATCTGTATGGACAGTATGGTTATCAGCGCAAGTTGTGTTATAATATATTATTGATCTTTGTTGCCAAGACACAACAGCTCAGTTATCATAAAAATTAATTCTGCGGTACTGCGATCTTGCAGATACTAGTAAAGTACCTGATACCTGATGTCGTAATTAGTGTATTACAATTTACACTAATTACGACATCGGGTATCAGGTAGCTGCTAGATCATCGAATCAATTATAATCATAGATCATGATTTGATCAATTCTGCGACACTACGATTTAGCAGTTACCTGATACCCGATGTCGTAATTACTTACAATTAGTGAAATTACTCACTGCGGTATTTAATTAACAATAAAAAATAATTACTGTATTATTGTATGAACAGTACATACAGAGTACACAGCACAGAGAGCGGCAGTACAGTGCTGCACTGTACCGTGTTGTGTCAGCTTCCATAATATTGTACAATTAATCCATAATATATCCATATATCCATCCAATTAATCCATTTTTTATCCATAATATCTCTATTATTATTAATTTTTACTCTGCACCGTACAGTACTCGCGTGAGGTACTCGTACGGTCGTACCGCAGTCGTACTCCAAGTTTTCGACACCGCGCCGGCGCTGTGTTGATCAACCCGGGTGAACACAGCGGTTTCCTATCTCGCTCTGTTTTCATTATGCACCGCAACCAGCCACCAGCATGCTCCCTGTACTTATTAAAAATTGCGATTATGAGCTGTGGCATTGAACATTTTATTTTGACGCGTTTTTAATTATGATAATAGATATCAACGTACTTAACTTAACATAGACCGTTTATAGACAGTTGTGCGCAAGGGGATTATTTGATTAAGTATTAGTCTTGCAGTTTCCTAAGGAACTTTATGGAGCCTCCTGCTAAGAAAGTCAGACAGGACGCGGCCACTGTCAGCAACTCGAAGACGCGTCCACTTTCCAAAAGTGCCAAAATAAATGCCCGGGACAGGGGTGAAGCGCCGCCCGAATTGGTTGTTGACGATAATGCAGGGATGACGGTACGAGTTGTACGATACAACTCTGTACTACGTCACCACAGGTGTGCAGAGCCAGCCAGGTGGATATGTGGCCAGCGTGGTGTTGTGTTCTTTTAGTGTGTGAATATGCACAGTCTCGACTGGCATATTTTTCTCTTCCCTTTTTGCGCCCTTTCCTCCGCCATGTATTGCATTCACTGATGAATAAAATTCCCATTTTATTCACGTGTGTTGTCTCATATTCATTCGTCATCCGGGATACGAGGATTAACCTCGTATTCCCTATATGGTAGCAGATCTGTGAAAGATCTCGTCTCTAGAAGAGCCTCGATCTGTGCTGTTTACAGCGCAGACTAGAATCATATCTTTGGATCCCATCCTTGATCGGACGGATCCATATTCCTGCGGATATTTGGGCACCATCAATTCTTCACTGACGAACAGTGGAAAGGGAGGAATCAACTCCAGAAGAAAATCAACCTCACGACGCGAACAGTTCACGGAATAACGCTGCTGAACGTCCGACATTTCTGTGTACGAAACACGCTGTGTCACAGGGACAACAGTGAACCGTGTATGCGCGCCGTATCTTTTAAGGAAACGAATCCAGCAGTTGCCAAACGATCAAAGAATTGTTTCTAGAATTACTTCTGACGAACAGAAATCTTTACGAATAAATACGAAAAATTCCTGACCTTTTCAGATAAATTCTACGATAGAATTTCCTGGTTACGTACCTGGAATTTTGGTAGCTGTTAACTGTCTGTCTGTGGTAAGTGCACAGTAGCTAGATTATTATCAGCCTAGCACGATAACAAAAGAAGCGGATATATCCGCATACAAAAAAATATTGCTACTGCAATAAAGCCGTGCCTTTCTGCCTGCTCATTGACCTGTAGAATTAAATATACTTGTATACTGTAATACGAAATACGATGTCTGGGAGATACGGAATTCTTAACGGACTGAAAAGCATTTTCCCGTTCGGAACACGTGATAACATGGAGGAAACTATGTTTATGTACGCTGATCGACCAAACCCTCGTCAACCGTCAACTGCTACTGGCGCTACGACGCGCCAGCAGACAAAGAAATTGGGAGCTGCTAAAAAGTCGAAAAACGACGATAAGACTGAGGAATCGTCCAGTGATGACGACACATCATCGCAGACGACTGCGAGGAGAATTTTCCTAGGACGAAAGCACCCAGCAGACAACATGGAAATTCCACCGGAATTCCCGCTGGGAGACGGCAGCGATAACGAACGAGGAGATTCTCCCTGGAATGGAGATCAACTCGACACGACTATGATCGAGGCGAATGAAGACAATCTGAAAGACATCATTGAAAATGTTGAAAACGAAATACCGATAATCGGCGAAGAAAACCATAAAACAAAAAAACCGGAAAAAGAGCTGGACGAACCAGCAACGGAAAAATCAGCGATGGAAGATTCACAAAATACAACCACCGATACTCACGAAGAGGAAGCCATGGACAAAGAAGCCGCCGATATGACTGAAGCGGAATTACGAGACGCATTTTACCAAGTCGTCCAACGAAATACGCACCTCCGAGGAGAACTGTCCCAATTAAATGAACATTACGAAGAGACGTTGGAACGCCTTGAAGAACTGGAGAAAAATCGCGAAGCCATGGAAACAGAGTTTGACGAAAAACATAAGGAGAACGCGAATAACGAACAAAAGAATAAAACATTAACTGCTGAAAATGAACGTTATAAGAAAGTCATTTTCAAAATGGACCAGCTACGAAAGCTGGATAAAAGCAAACACGTAGCCGAAATGGAAAAATTACGCAAAGAATTCGCTAAATCGTTGAAGGAAAAACGTCACGAAGACGCGAAGGCACCGGCCAAACAGGTCAAAACAACGGAAAAATTTGGATATTTTAAAATGGAGCGCCGTGACGCGGTTGGCAGAAAATCACCTTTCGAGAAGCCACGTGAAACGCGAGAGGTTTTGTACACCAGAGATCAAGTGGATCAGACAGTGGAGAACGCGCAGTATACCGCTTACGAGCAAGGATATCAGGAGGCAGTGGAACAAATGCAGGAAGAAAATTTCCGCTTAAATGCAACAATTCGAGATCTGACGAACAGATCGTTGCAAGCCCGTTCCACAGCACCTCCACCTCCCCCAAGACGCCCACCACCTGTCAACACAGCACCAGTTACAGTTCCTTTACCACCGGGAACGATGCCCGTTAAGGACGTTACGGAATTAATTAAAGCGGCGCGCCCCGATTCCAATTACGAAATATAATGGAAACCGGGAGGAGATTGACAGTTTTATTATAAAGTTTCGCCGTGCTGTAGTGCAAATGCCTGGGATGAAGCCACAGCTGTAACGCAGCTAGGAGCGGCATTGACCGGCGAGGCACAGCAGTGGTATAATCTGACGATCAGATCGCAGCCACACCTGGATAATATTGAAGCCTGGTTAACGCTCTTGACTGAGCGCTTTACTGATAAGAATCGGGCTACGACAGCCTTGAATGAGCTGACAACACGTGTCTGGCAAGCCGGAAAAGAAGACATTGACACCTATTATCAGAAAATGGTATCTTTACGCGATATGGCCGGTATGATCGGATCGGATAAACAACTCTGCACATTCCTTACGAAAGGAATAAGGGATTATCCGCAACTACACATGGCCTTGAAAATTAAAGATCCGAAAACGCCAACGGAATGGCTTTCGTATGTCAGAAGTATTATTTCGGACGATCCGAAATATGTAAACGGAACTGACAAAAAGACTGCAACAGTTAGTTTGGTAACCGTCGACGGAGAAAGCTACGCCGTAATTAACGCAGCAACAGCTGACGACAAAGAGGAACCGTGGAAAACGGTTACGAGAAAAAAGTGGAAGAATGGCAACGGAGGAAGCCCAAACGGTGACGACAGCCGTAAATCCCCCACGCCATCATCCTCACCGCCGAAAGGGAAATTTAATCGTCCTTGGAACGGAAATCGAAAATTTAATAACGGCGGTGGAAATAACAATAATAACGGCAACTACGCTCGCAACTCCTTCTATTGCGATAATTGTGAGATAAAGGGTCACGAAACCCGGCGTTGCCGATTTGCTGGAGTCGCGAAAATCGACAACCCTACGTTCTGCAATAACCATCCCGAAATGGAGTTATTCTACATGAAAACTCATCCGGAACACCAGCGAGCAGCAGCAGTAATTGCGCGCCACGCAGCCGGAGCCGATAATGCGGACTCGAACGGCGGAAACCGGGGGAATTTCCGTGGTGGCAGAGGACGGAGTGGATTTCGCGGCGGCGGATACCGCGGAGGAAACCGTGGGAACGGCAGATATAATAATAATCAGGAGGACGAACCTTCACTGATTTAAACGGGAATCCTGTACCGCAAGGAGCCGCAGCTGGTAATTTAAACCCGCAAGGGAACGGCCAGTAAATCCCGGCTACGCTGTTCCCGTACCTCCAAAACCGCCGGATAAAATTACGAGTACGGATAATAAGGCGACGAACGCCAAAGGAATAAATATTCACGGATTCACCGTGAACCGCCCTCCACAGAAATACGCCGAAGTAAATTTATTAACGGCATTAAATCAACCGGAGATTGCACCGGTGCTGACGCACAGCATTCAAGTTGGAGGAATTCCAGTGGACGCGATGATTGACACTGGAGCGGAGACGTCCTTAATTTCGCAACAATTTTGCGAATTAAATAAATTGGAGACGTATAAATTAAAGACGCCACTTTCCATACGCGGAATAGGCGGTATACATAATTTCCCCGTGCAATACGCTTGCACAGTGCCCGTCTCCATGGACGAAATAATGACTGGCCATTGCTTCTACGTGAAGCCAACGCAGGATGCCGTTAAAGTCCTCCTTGGACAGGATTTTCTGCGGAAGATAAAAATTGTGATAAGTGGAAGTCGCATTGTGGCGACGGA